GTATTTGAGACCTTTCTTGTTTCTTGAGAAATGCTTCTATTGCTATATACTTCCCTCTTAGGACCGCCTTTGCTGCATCCCAAAGGTTTTGAACAGTTGTGTTTTCATTTCCATATGTTTCCATGAATTTTTAAAATTCTTCTTTAATTTCCTGGCTGACCCATTCATTCTTTTTTTTTTTTTTTAAGATTTTATTTATTTATTTGAGAGAGAGAATGAGACAGAGAGCATGAGAGAGGGGAGGGTCAGAGGGAGAAGCAGACTCCCTGCCGAGCAGGGAGCCTGATGTGGGACTCGATCCCGGGACTCCAGGATCATGACCTGAGCCGAAGGCAGCCGCTTAACCGACTGAGCCACCCAGGTGCCCCTGACCCATTCATTCTTTAGTAGGATGCTCTTTAGCCTCCATGTATTTGAGTTCTTTTCAAATTTCCTCTTGTGATTGAGTTCAAGTTTCAAAGCATTGTGGTCTGTAAATATGCAGGGAATGATCCCAGCATTTGGTACCAGTTGAGACCTGATTTATGACCCAGTATGTGATCTATTCTGGAGAATGTTCCATGTGCACTTGAGAAGAATGTGTGTTCTGTTGCTTTAGGATGCAGTCTTCTGAATATATCTGTGAAGTCCATCTGGTTAAGTGTGTCATTCAAAGCCCTTATTTCCATGTTGATGTTCTGCTTAGATGATCTGTCCATTGCAGTGTGTGGGGTGTTCAAGTCCCCTACTATTATTGTGTTATTATCAATGTGTTTCTTTAATTTTTTTATTCTTTGGTTTATATAATTGGCTGCTCCCATGTTAGGGGCATAAATATTTACAAATATTAGATCTTCTTGTTGGATAGACCCTTTAATTATGATATATGAGAAAATTGGACAGCCACATGCAGAAGAATGAAACTGGACCATTTCCTTACACCATACGCAAAAATAGACTTGTTGATGAAAGACCTGAATGTGAGACAGGAATCCATCAAAATCCTAGAGAAGAACACAGGCAGTAACCTCTGTGACCTTGGCCACAGCAACTTCTTGGTAGACACGTCTCCAAAGGCAAGGGAAACAAAGGCAAAAATGATCTTTTGGGACTTCCATCAAGATAAAAAGCTTTTGCGCGGCAAAGGAAACAGTCAACAAAACTAAAAGGCATCCTACAGAATGGGAGCAGATATTTGCAAATGACATATCAGATGAAGGGCTAGTATCCAAAATCTATAAAGAACTTAAACTCAATATCCAAAGAACAAATAATCCAATCAAGAAATGGGCAGAAGACATGAACAGACTTTTCTCCAAAGAAAATGCCTGTTCACTGCTGTTCTTCTTTCTGTCTTTATCTCTCTGATTTCTCTACTTTTTCCTCGATTTTGCCCCTCCTTTTTTATGTCGTTTGTCTTGCCATTTCTTGTTGCTTTGTGGTTTTCCAAATAGACACAATTACTTCATTAAGTTTTTAAAATTCATAGCAAAAATTTTGGTCACTTTTCATCTGCAACTGCTCCATGGTGTTTTTGTCAGAATTTTACATTTTCCTCCTTTTATCTTATTTTTGTTTAGATGTAAATTTCAATCACAGTGAAGAACAAGTTGGATTTTCTTGGGCTAACTCTTTTGTACAAGGCCCCTTTTGGGAAGTGTAGGTTACCAGGATAATCTCACATCCTGCTAACTGGTTTATATACCTCTTTGCTGGGCAGAAGGCTTTCTGCAAATGTGACTTGTGTGTCTGATTTTATATGTTAGCATTGCCTAATTTGCTTCTCTGTACCAAATGAAGTCTGGGGGACTTCTGCCATCCTTCTTGCCCCAGCTTCTGTACCTGTTTTTGTAAACAAAGTATGTGGCTTTGTACTTCAGGATGTGTCTTTCACCTTTAGAATGCCAATTTTTGCTGACACATTCTAAAATCTGTTACTATTGGGTCCTTTTGATTTCTCTGATCTGCTTCCAACTACATATCTTCTGTCTGAGCTTGGCTGATTTGGGTAGTGCTGTCATATGTTGTAGAGTCTGTGGATTTTATCTGGCTCTTAGTTTCAATGAAAATAAATTTTTAGAATTTGGTTGTTGTGGCTTTGGATGAGTCCCAGCAGGAGAAGGGGAAAATGTTGACTTATGTAGGATGATCATATGGGAACTTCTATTTTACTATTTAAAAATAGCATCCCACTTTCTTTGTTCTGAAAATCTAACCTAAATTTTTAGGCACTAACAAAGCAATAGAACATGGTCTCTCTACTGGGAGGACGAAAGATGAGAATGGTATTTTGGTGGTATCTGCTGTTTGTCAAATTACAGAATATGTCATTAAGGTATTTAATATTTTTTCCCCAGGAAAATAAGGGATAACCCAGGGCTTCAGTGACGGGCTAGAACCAAAAGGGTTTTAGGACTGAATAAAAGATGACCAGTTGGACTTGGACCATAGCTAAATGTGCCATCCATAGCTTTTTCTATCCTCCTATAAAACCTTCAGTATAGGCCTAGTTCTCATTTCTTAAGTTGCTTTCTCGCCTTTTGAATATTTTCTTTGGGGTTCTTTGCTTTTCTCTCAATTACTAAATTTCCTGAACTAGGTTGTCCATTCTTGGTTTTCAGTGGTTTATCATCCATCTGTCTTATAGGGATCTGAAACATTGCTTAAAGATACTGTGAATAAAAGTAATGTAGCATTGTGTGTCAACTATACTCAAAAAAAAAGAAAAGGATACGTTGAGATTTGTATATTTATTTTTAAAACCTGTTCCTATCTTTTTTATTTAAAAAAAAAAGAAAATGAAAAAACAGCAATTGATCATCTGTTATGTATATTATAATTTATGAGCATTTAAGGTAACTTTAACTTTTATAGATGTACCAAATTAGATGTTTCTGAAAAATGTAACCTTGCAGCACACTCTACTATAGACTACGTAAGTTATTTTATAGATTTCAGAAAAGAGTCAAGTCTCAAATATGACTCAATAACTTCTACAGTCTGAAAACCAAATTTAATGTTTGAATATATATGATTGTCCACATTTCTAATTAGGGACACTATTCTATATTATATCATTTTTGTGCATTATAATGTTTCCCATTGTTGTTTGAGATCACTTCTATGGTAAAATTGCAGATAAGATCAGGGATTTTGTTTATCAAAAGGATTTATAGTAAGACATGTATTTTGAGTTATTTTTCTGATAGTGCTAATGGATTACCCTGAACCATCCTTTTCTCCACTTATCCTTAAATTCAAAACCAGCATTTTTTAGAAGGAACTTAACCTTATAATAGTCCTAAGAAATAGTCTGACTTTCCTAAACTCTTAAATATTACATGTGTCCCAAGAAGTACCTAGAAACTTCTCATTTCCTTCTTTTCATTGTGGTTTCATTTCAACTGTATTTATTCTGAGTGGTTGACCTCAGAGGATCATGTAGTATTAGGGACCTAATGTATTTATCCTTATTTAGCTTATGGATGCAACCTTAACTCCTAAACACAAATTGTGTCACTGTATGTGGGCTCATTTTATTCAGTATTTTTCCCCTTTCTTTTAGATCTATTTTAGATTTTTTTCTTGGTATTTTTTTCCCCAAAGGTTTCAGAATTGACAAGTGAACAAAATAAATCCAATTGAAATGTTATAGGTCTGTCCTGGATCAAAGACCCAGCTTCCCATGTGATACAGAACATTTTACCAATGATCTAACATTTCAGTGTGGCAGGAGATGAAATGGATGTTATCCTAGAAATTGAGGGAGACAAAGGGAGACAAAGGGAAATTGAGGGAGAAATTGAGGGAGACAAAGGGAGACTCTTGACTCGGGGAAACAAACTGACGGTTGGGGAAGGGGAGGTGGGTGGGGGGATGGGGTAACTAGGTGATGGAAATTAAAGAGGGCATGGATATGATAAGCACTGGGTGTTATATATTCAACTAATGAATCATTGAACATTATATCAAAAACTAATGATGTACTATACCTTGGCTAATTGAATTTTTTTAAAAAAAGGAATAGAATTCAGAGTTTGAAACTTTTTAATGTTGTTATTAATTTACTAAATAGCACATTTAGGAAGAGTTTAAGTCAGCTGGCGTATGTTGTAAAAGAATTACCTGGGTGGCTTGTTGAAAAATAAAGATTTCTGGGCCCTGTATCTAGATACATTGTGATTTATGGGTCTGAAGTGGGCCCAGGAATTAGTATTTTGACAAGTACTTCTGGTTTTTCTAATGCAGGTCTTCTTTGGACTGGCTTTTGAGAAAAACTGCCATAGAGAAATTCTACAACTGAAAATGATGTACAATAAATGAATTAATTATATCTTGTTGAAAAAAAAAGCTCACGTATGAAATTATTCCACATTAGAACCAGTTTATGTGACATCTTGATTTTATTCATGAGGAACTAAATTTCCCCTTCAAATATTTACGCATTCTAGATTTCAAGGTCTAACTGTAGAATTTATCAAGATGTTACTAATTTTTAAAGAATTGTTCAAGATCTTTTTTTTTCTTACACATTTTCTAGCACCTTGCATCTGGGCAATGGCAAGTTGTGTTCAATTTTTAGTTCTAACTAGATGTTATGAAATTTCATATATTGATAACTAAACATATACATTATGGCATGTAAAACTACATATCCTTTCTGTGCTCTATCTTGACATGGATAGGAAATGAATAAATTTTAGTTTAATTAAACATTTAAGTTATTATGCAGTATTTATATCTGAAAAGATAAATTGCAAGGAAAAAAACTATTAGATCAGTAGCCAAGTCCTAGTTTTAGGGTTTTTCTTTTAAAAAATTTTGTTGTTGCTTATTATGATAATGGTGTTTATTGTTATTTAGAGTGTGCGTATGTACCACATACTTGTAGATTAATATTTTTCCAGACATATTACCAAGCATAGTTTTACATGGTCTGACTTTAGTTGTAAACATAGAATTGCTTTTTGATACCTAATTTTTTTAAGGGATAAATAAGACTTCTGTTTTTTCTCTTTCAGTACTGTTGTCCAGACATGATAAATAACTTTTTAGGACTGGCTAAAACAGAATTTTCAAGTACAGCAAATAAAAATAAGGCTGTTGATTCAGAGAAAGGAAAATTGATCATGTTAGTTAATGATTTTTATTATGGAAAACATGAAGGAGATGTCCAGGAAGAACAGAAGACTCACACAACTTTTAAATGCTTCAGTTGCTTGAAAATTCTTAAAAATAATATTAGGTATGTAAATACTTATTTTCATTTCTTTTTGAAAATTGGAATGCTGCAGATATAAATGTTGTATCTTTATCTTGTATTTTTCTGTGCCATTCTAGATAGGCAATTTTAATACTTTCTACTAAGGACAAAGGCAGATTGTCCTGTTGAAAACCTTTGTTCTTTCTTGTAATTTAGAGTTGACTCCTGGATCCACTTAGTTGTATTTCTTTTTTTTTTTTAAGATTTTATTTATTCATTTATTTGAGAGAGAGAGCACATGAGAGGGGGGAGGGTCAGAGGGAGAAGCAGACTCCCTGCCGAGCAGGGAGCCCGATGTGGGACTCAATCCCCGGACTTCAGGATCATGAGCTGAGCCAAAGGCAGTCGCTTAACCAACTGAGCCACCCAGGCGCCCTTCACTTAGTTGTATTTCTTTAAGATAACTTAAGAAAAGACAAACTTTATTCTTTTTTTTTGAAAGATTTTATTTATTTATTTGAGACAGAGAGAATGAAAGAGACAGAGAGCACATGAGAGGGGGGAGGGTCAGAGGGAGAAGCAGGCTCCCTGCCGAGCAGGGAGCCCGATGCGGGACTCGATCTAGGGACTCCAGGATCATGACCTGAGCCAAAGGCAGTCACTTAACCAACTGAGCCACCCAGGCGCCCAGGACAAACTTTATTTCAAAAATTAACTTTTTCCCCTATATTATCACTGTTTTAGGAATTTTCATGAGATCATTTTCATTTTTAGCTGCATTTGAATTTTATTTTTCTTCACAAGAAGAACCACTTTAGTATGTCCAGTTTGACCTCCTCCATACTAATCTTATTTAATGCTCAAGTCTTTTAATTCAGATTTATAATTTTTAGAACATTTACCTTGCAGGAAAAGTGATCTTCTTTAGAGAAGTACACAACATGTCTGCTTAAAATTAACCCCTTTAAAAATTAGAAATTTAATTTCCAGTGAAATTTTTAATTTTATACATGTATGCTTTAAATTTTAGGAACTTTACTTTGTGATCTTTGAGTTACATGGCATATTAGTAGCTGTCATCCTATAAATGAGTACGTAACAAGAACAAAGTAATAAGACATACTGATTGATATTTTTCAGTGGTTATATAGCTTGACATTTATATTAGGTAAGGTTGTTTTTATACCATTTTATTATAAAAATGTTCAGACATGCAGCAAAGTTTAAAAAATTTTACAGCAGATACTGTATGCTTATCACCTTGTTCTACCATTAACATTTTACTGTACTTGCTGCATCATATATCTGTTCATTCTTCCTTCAAACTATTTTTTTCTTCTGCATTTCAAAGTAAGTTGCAGACATCAGTATACTTAGATGTGTGTGTGTGTGTTTGTACAAACATACGTATGTATGCCTTTTTATGTTTACCTTTGATAACTTTGTAAATAGCATTCTTAGGTACCTATAGGTTACTTCTGGACCCAGTATTCATTTTCCTGTGAGTTCTTAGGTCCAAAAAGAAGCGTATAGAAAAACCCTGAAATACATTTTGATATACTCCTAAAACAATTATTAAAGCTTTGTTCATGGTGGTGCTTTATAGTTTCCAAATTGTTTCACATATGTTATTTCATGAGCCCTCACATTTCTTTATCTCCTTTAATTAAACTTTAACAGCCATCAATAGTTAATGGTTTAACAGAAGGGATATTGTACTTTGTGATATAACACTGAAACAATATTACAGTAGAACTCTGTCACCTATTTCCATATTCTTAACATTTTAATAGTAAAAAACACCAGAAGAATCATGTTAATAAATATGGTGAAAGCGCAGAAATATGTTTCATTGACTTAGTTCCTTGTTATACTTAAATATGTATATATTAGAGGTTATTTCAGCAATAGCTTTTGGCTTTTCCTTTGAGATTAGCCCACTTAATAAACATATGAAGGTTAAATTCCTTTTCTTGTTATTATTTCAGAAGACTAGCTACATATTTCTAGAGTACCTGAATATTTCAAAATTTAAAGCAAACAGTATTTATAACATCCTGGAATTGAGCATTTTTTGAAATACTGATTGTTTAGGAAACATAACCTTAATGGTAAATACTTTGTAACCAAAGAAGTTATATATGTTAAATAATATTTTATCTTAACAGTAAAACTGGGAAGACAAATTGATGTTTGTAGAGAATGGTAGAAATGGTAGCTATAGATTTTTACTCTCTCCCTTGTCAACATATTGTGGAATGATTTTTTTTTTTTTCTCCTGCACTGAGAGTCACCAAAAACAGTTAGGTTTATTTTATTCTGTGAACATCCTTGTAAGAAGTTTGCTTTCATGTTTCCTTCATTTCCATCTGTTGGTTTAAGTAGCTTACATTCCCAGTGGGGGCTCATACAATAATTGTGCGAAAGCTTGCTAGTTAAGAGATTATTTTATATAGATACACTTTAATTGCTTAAAGTTGTGAGCCAAAAGTTTAATGGCTCATGACCTTTTCTCTGTGTATAAATATTTGGCCAAGACTAAGATTTTCTATAGGTGTTTCTAGAGCTGGTGTTAAAACCAAGGGAGGACAAAAAGATATTTCAAAGTGTGCCATAACCTGTTCAAGAGAAGTACTATTGTGAAGGTGTGAACGAGAGATAAATGTTATAGCCTTCATGGTGACTGCTATCCAGATTAATGACATTATCACTTTCAAGATTCTTTCCTTTATGGGCTCAAAGTGAGTAATTGTTAATAGTTGACCCAGACTAAAAATTGTCATAACCTTACTTTCAAATTCAGCAAAAAGCTTCAGTAAGCTCTTTTAAATAGGTATTCCCATTTATATTGCACTCTTTGCTGTTGAAGGTCATAGTTCCTGCTCATAAGAAGCCTTTTAGGGAAGCTGAAATAGCAGAATGTGAAACTGAAAAATGGACGTTGCCTACAAAGGGCACAGTCTGCAAGTTAAAATGAACAGTCTGTGCTAACAGTAAACCAGCATCATTAAATAAAACAAAAGGTTCTTGTAATTGTAGGCATTAAAATTGCTATTACATGCATTTAGAAACCAAGACACAAGTAAAAATACCAGTAATTTGTCTTTTAAACAGCTGGAATCTATTGTATATCTTCACAGCCTTAAAAGATTTCTCTCATGACTGTAGCTGCTTTTGGTGGTAGGGTTTCCTTCCTTTGACGTATTTTATTTAAAAATGTAAATAGTATTCATGTATGGAAAAAAAGCCTGCTTTTTTTTATCTTTAAAAAACATTTTAATACTCTGAAATGATTAAGAATTTGAGCAAATTAGTAATATTTCAGATTAATTACATTGATGAATTTTTTTTTTTTTACATTGATGAATTCTTTTAAAGCAAAGATGTTTATTTGGCCATGTAATGAAAGTGATTATTTAAAACACACAGTTTTCTAGAGGACTTTTAAGGCTTTTGGGATTTTATTTTGAATAATATATCTATATTTTTAAGATTTAGACTCAGATATTTGTTAGATTTTTGTTTTTAAATCCGAATTTTTGCACCTGTTGACAATCATCTATAGGTTTATGAACCACATGAAACACCATTTGGAACTTGAGAAGCAGAGCAGTGAGAGCTGGGAAAACCACACCACCTGCCAGCACTGCTATCGTCAGTTTCCCACACCATTTCAGCTGCAGTGTCACATTGAAAGCACGCATACACCCCATGAATTTTCTAGTAAGTTACAGTTCTACTTAAGTATGGGATAGTATCAATTTTGATGATGTAAACTCTGAGAAAGAAGCTTGTTAAAGAAATAAGACTAAGGAAAAGACTTTGGAATTTGGGGGCAATATTGGAGAAGTTTTAACTTACCTAAATTGTTAAAACTAGTTATTAAAATTAAAGCCCCTCTTATAAATAATTCATTAAAGTAAAAAGCCTGTGCATTATATGTGGGGAACTAAATTAAAAACCCCAGATCATGGTTTTCAAATATGAAGTTAATGCCCTTCATTTAAACTTGAATAAGAAAAATAACTACAGTCATAGTTAAAATCATTTTGGAGCTAGCTAGCTTGAGTTCAAATCCCAGGTCTGCCTCTTAATACAGCTATGTGATCTCAGGCAAGTTACTTAATATTTGAATAATGGGGATAATAGAAATACCTGCTTCATAATGCTGTTGTGGGAATTAAGTGAGCTAATGTAAGTAAAGTACTTAGAACTGTGTTAGGCACACCAATGCTATTGTTATTTTTGTTGATATAGATATATAAAATGAATTTTACACATATATATCTGTTTTGTTTGCCTGGTGAAGATAGATTTTTTTTAATTGAGGTATAAGTGACATAGAGTTTCAGTTATACAACATAATGATTTGATATTTGTGTGTGTGTGTGTAATGTGTATATCTATATCTTAAAATGATGTAATGTCTTTTCTCCCCCCACTTTTAGCCATTTGCAAAATCTGTGAATTATCATTTGAAACAGAGCATATTCTTTTACAGCATATGAAGGACAATCATAAGCCTGGGGAAATGCCATATATTTGCCAGGTATACTACACATATTTTATTGTATACTTAGTGTTTGTTTGGTTTGTTTGTTTTCTGGTGTTTTGATGGTAAGATTTAAACCTACTGGGCCAAGGGTCAGCAAATTTTTTCTGTAAAGCACCAGATATAAAGCACCCCAGGCTTTGAGGGTCATACAGTCTGTGTTGCAACTAATCAGCTCTGCCATTGTAGCACAAAGGCAGCCACAGACAACAAGTAAATGGACGTGATCTGGCTCTGTGTTTATTTAAACTTTATCTATGGACCCTGGAATCTGAATTTCACATAATTTTCATGAGCCATGAAATATATTCTTTTATTTTCCTAACCATTTAGATAAAATTGGTTACTAAAATTAAAATTCCTCTTGTAAATTATTTATTAATAAAAATAACTTTGGCATAACTCATGCATTGTATGTGGGGTCAGCAGAGAGTTGAAATTGGCCCACAGGCCATTTTATACCTACTCCCAATTGGACAAAGAAAAGCCCTGTGGCAGAAAGACAAGCATAGGGACTTATTTTACCATATAAGGAAGAATACAAGGGAAGTATGAAATGCTTTTAGTTACAAAGAACCCTACCAAATGCTTTGGGATTAGCATTTTTTCAGAATTTGAAGAAGAGATAGAAAAAGAAGATAAAAATATATTGCCATAGCCTGGAGGCCATTTATAATCTAAAGGAAGGTGCTGTTTTATGTAGCAGAAAAAAAATTTTATAGTATGAAATTCCAAGTCAAGATGGGGGTGGTAAATAAAAAGATCTGATAAAAAGAAGGATACCTACTTACGTTTTGGGAAGTATCCTTAAACTTTGATAGATAAGTTTTCTGTCTCAAAGATTATCTTTCGGTGCTTGCATTAATGGGATTCTTGGTTATATAGGTATCAGAGCTGAATGAGTTGTAGCTGATGTTCTTCTAAACAAATGACCTATCATTCTTACTTTGTAATTGTATATCGTACATTTTCAAGTTAAACTAAACCTTCTTTATTTGTAGGTTTGCAATTATAGATCATCGTCCTTTTCTGATGTAGAGACTCATTTTAGAACATCCCACGAAAACACTAAGAACTTGCTATGTCCATTTTGCCTCAAAGTTATTAAAATTGCAACACCCTACATGCATCATTATATGAAGCATCAGGTGAGATTTACCAGTTATTTGTTCATGTTGTTTTAGCAAAAAGATTATTACTTAGAACATTGGTTAGATTTGTTCTGCAAGGGAAGCAAGATTTTTCCAAATGACATGATTAATTTGCAATTTATGTTGAATTACTTGTAAAACTTCCACTTCTTTTCCTTGGCTTCCTTTCTGGTGATGTTGTGGCTCATAAGTGAAAATTCTGAAAGATAGCTAGAAATCGGACACCCAGGATTGAAGGAGAAAAGGGATGATGAGTGGAATATCCATAAGATTGGATATTTCGGGGTCCAAGAGTGGGTATGGGAATGATTTTGAAGGTAGTTATCAGGGTAAAGGTGAGCGTGAACTAAGAAAAGATTGAGGACTCATAAGCTTGTTTTCCTTTTTTTCTTCCAACCTTATTTCCACTTTTTAGCCCCCTTATGATGAGAATACATATTGTTATCATTGACCAGAAGTGGTCTTTTATAGCTGCCAGTGATAAAGGAAACAGTAATGACACTTACTGCTTGGTATATGAACTCATCACTTGTTTTGTGGATGGATTCTGCTAGTTCTGCTATATAAATTTTTGGGATCCAGTATTAGCACTTAATACTCTTCTCTTGAATTCTTATGTTATGCCTACTGGTTCTTTTCCTGAAGCAATTAAACCATCCTTTGTTTGGGCTGAAAACTTTTATGTAACCCTGATCCTGTTCTTAAGTGCTTGAAAGAGCAACGACAGTGTCTGCCAAAATCAGAAGTCACTGGATTTACTGAATCTGATCATGTAATCAAGTTTTGCCACCTCCCTAATCAGCTCATTACATTTTTTTATTATTATTATTGATGAAATTGGCATGCTGATTGGTGCTCACTTTGCTTTCAGTTCGTCATTCGATAATCATGAAATCAAGTTGTGGTTTTTAACTGGGAAATATCATAAAAGTAGAGTTCCCAAGTGAATTTTTTTTACATTTTTATTTAAATTCCAGTTGATTAACATACAGTGTAATATTAGTTTTCAGTGTAGAATTTAGTGATTCAACACCTACATACAACACCCAGTGCTCGTCACAAGTGCCCTCCTTTATCCCCATTACCTATCTAACCCATCTTCCTGGGCACATCCCCTCCTGTAACCATCAGTTTGTTCTCTACAGTTAGAAGTCTGTTTCTTGGTTTGCCTCTCTTTTTTTTTTTTTTTTTTTACCCCCTATGTTTGCTTGTTTTGTTTCTTAATTCTACATATGAGTGAAATCATATAGTATTTGTCTTTCTCTGACTTATTTCACTTAGCATAATTCTCTAGTTCTTTCCATGTCACTGCAAATGGCATGATTTCATTCTTTTTTATGACTAATATTCCATTGTGTGTGTGTAAAATATATACATATTTTATATATATATATAGCCCCTTCTTTATCCAAGTGAATTTAGTATCTCCTATGTTGTGACTGGGATGATACTCATCTTTGAGAAGTTCTGACAAAATCTTTCTATTCTAGGTTTCCCCAACAGTGTTCCATCAGGTGTTAATAGATGTTTCCCCCCAAATTGTTACTAGTAAAGAAATTTGGTAAATGCCTAGATTTACAATATCAAACAGTTTTGCTAGTCTGTTTTTTAAAACAGGATTTCTCAGAGCTTTTAATATGCTAATGAATATTGTAAATCTCCAAGCAAGGGGTATAGGGCTTATTGGTTCCCAGACATTTTTGGCTATTGAGCCCTTTATTTGCACAATACGTATTAACATTTTTTGAGGAATAGAATTTTTTTTTCATCTTTGGGCTCTTTATTTCATCTTTGGGCTTAAATTTGAATGGGAGAATGAGATATAAAACGGTAGTGCTATTTCATTATGGGCCTTTTAACATAATTTTTCCCACATGCTTTCCTAAAGCTCCAGAGTGAGATGTAGATATGGGAAGAATGATAATTACGAAAGAGATGTGTGGGCCCACTATGTGGGCTGTGTGGTTTATAAGGTTTTTATACACTGAGTTTTATGTCTTGTTTTGCCATTGTTGCCAACTTTCTTTTGTTTACATGGAATATTTAGGAGATAGGCAGTCAGCAGTAAAGAGGGGGAAATCTATTAATAAGGATCATCAGCATCCTTCAAGACATTTACAGTTCGCATAATTATTTACAAAGACTGGAACACCATAGCTGAGTAGGACTATTACTTATAATTGAGATGATATCAGTGTGGTATTAGACAATAAGAATTGTTGATTCTCTGGCTCATTTTATTGTCTTCAAAGACTTTGGTTGTAACTTTTTTTTAAAAGATGTTTTAAGTCTCGGGTGATTTTAGAGTTAGCAATCCAGTTTGTATGACTTTTAAGAAATAATAAAAGTGATTTCAGATGTGTCAAATACGTTAATTAGATCTTTAATAAAAATGTTAACTAGTTAACATATGAAGTCACTTACCTTATGGCAGCAGCAGGTGCTTTACAAGCATTATCATCTTCACAATCACCATATGTGTGTTATTATTTCTAACTTTTAGGTGAGGAAACAAAGTTTTAGAGAAAGTAACTTGCTCAGTGTCCTACTACCTAATAAAAAGCAAAATTAAAATTTGACTTCAGAGCCCAGGCTTTTACTGCTTTACCACAGACCCAGATTTTACATCGACATTAGGTCTAAGGGCAGAAATTACATAAAGTCATAATTACTCTTAAATCCCTCAAGTCTCCCGAACAGTGGAGTATGTGTATCAAAAAAGTTCAAAACAGATCATTATTTCTCTACCCTTGGAATAGATCATTGTTTCATTGATTGAACATGATGTTATTTAAAAATGTACTGTTTATCATTCTTATCACTTTGAAATGCATTCATGCACAAGAGACATGTGCAAGACTTGTGTCCAACTAAGAGAATAGTAGATTAATATATTCTATCTCATGAGTCTGGACAAATGTTCATTAAATGGAATGGCAGACATTTTGAACTAGTTAAATTGTACCTGCTTCTCATATGCACTTTCCCTATCAGTGTCTTGCTTTCTGCCTCACAGTCCAGTTATTTAACAGATATTTATTGAGTGCCTTACTATGTGCCAGGGGCTATTTTGGGTATTATATAGCAGTGAACAAAACAAAGTTTGTGCTCTCTGGAATTTGAATTAATAGTAGAGAAAGATAAATGTATGTGTGTTTATGTTTGAATGTATATGTTCGCTAGCTGGTCATAGTACTGTGGAAGGAATATGTGGAGGATAGAGAGTACCAGGGAGGTACTGGGAGTGGAGGAACGGTCGCTGTTATGTATGTAGTGTGGTAAAACATGAGCCTCTCTGAAGGAAATAGGAATAAGCCATGTGGAAATCTGGGAAAGGAAATATTCTGTAAGCATTGAAGTGAATGTACATATGGGGTACTCAGAGAACAGCAAAGGGACCAATTGTGGCTAGAGCAGAGTAAACTAAATAAGAGGAAAACTAATAGGAGATTAACTTGTAGCAATAGAATGCAGGCCAGTTCATGCAGAGCCTTGTAAACCAGAAACAGGACTTTGGAAAACCATCAGAGTATTTAAGTGTATGAACAATCTGCCGTGTTTTAAGATCATTGGCAGCTATGGGGAGAATAAACCACAGGGAGGAAAGAACATGACAGGAAGAAGATAGAGTCCAGGTGAGTGTCTTGGACCAGTATGGCAGCAGTAGTTTGAGGTAATGAGGAGTGGAAAGATTATGAAAGTTTTTGAAGGTAGAGCTGACAGATTTTATTAATAGGTTGGATATGGGGTGTGTGAGTGAGTTACCAAGTTTTTGTCTGAAGCAGCTGCAAGAATGGAATTTTCATATACTGTCACAGGGGAAAGACTGAGAAAACAGATTTGGGAGGGGGACAGGGAGGTAGGGGGAAAATCCAGAATTCAATTTTGTCCATGTTGATTTGAGATGCATATTAGCGCTCAGGTAGTGATGTCAAGTAGACAGTTGGATAGATAGTATTTAAAGCCATGAAACTGGATGAGGTAACCTGGGGAGTGATTATAGATAGAAAAAAGATTTCTGGGAATCGGATTCTGGAGAACTTTCTTTCTGTCCTGTTGTCTTAGTATCTGTTTCTTGGCCAAGTTTTCATTTTCTGCCTCTTCCTTCAGCACATATAAGTGAATTTTTAAAAATTGCCTGTATCTGCGATATAATCCAATGCACCACACTTCCAAAATAGTCTTAAGATGCAGCTAGAATAGTAATACAAACGCATTATATTTATACATCGCTCTGAATTTTGTAAAGAGCTTTGATTTATGAAATGCCTGCTCTGTGCTAGTAACTGTGCCAGGTACTTCTCAGTATATTACCTTGTTCGAATTTTATAAATGATTGAGTGTATTTAAATGGAAATAGTGATGTATCTGGCAGAATGTAACTTTTGAGAAAACATTCTTTTGTATTTATGTATTGTTTAAGTTTATATATATGTACGTATATATATCATTTCTTAATGAGAGCATGTAGATTGTAGTTGATATTATATAGTAGAAAGAACACTGGATCAGGAGTCTGGCAGTGCCAGTAACTAGTTAAGGGGGAGTGATTCAGATTTTTCTTGGGTCTTGCTTTCCAGCTATAGAATAACAACAGGATTGGGTTTAAAGAGGGACTCACTCAAGGGATATCAATCAGTAAATAGATTGGCAGTAGTTGTTCTGATTTATGTCTCCATATCAGCACTGTTCAATGTTCATGTGGCTATTGAAGTTAAAATCAATTAAAGTTAAGTAAAATTAAAAAATCAGTTCCTCTGTTGCACTTGGCACATTTCAGTTGCTTAATAACTGTATGTGGCTAGTGGCTACCATATTGGACAGTGCAGCTGTAGAACATTTTCATCGTTGCAGAAAGTTATATTAGACAGCACTACTTTATACAACCATTTCTATAACGACCTTCTTTGAAATGTCTGGTTAATTGAATTTATTTTACCAACTTGTCAACCAACTGGAAATAGCAAAAATTAAGAAGAATTTACTTTTGTCTAGGATAAAAACATAGTATAGTTTTAACCATATCATGTGTCTAAATACTTTAAAATTATAATTTGATGAGCTTTCACACCACTGTTGAGAGAACTTTCATTAGAACCTACAGATAGAACTTTTATGTTCAATTTCTGTATAGGAATAGACATTTTTGAAACCCAAGTACTAATGCAGAGTGTTTTAAAAAATGAGATAAAATTTGCTGTTATTTTTATGGGTGATGTAAAATACTAGTTTTAAAATTATTTAGGTATCATTAAAATTAGAGCAATTTAAGGATACAAGATTTGTGGTTGTAGACATTATTTTTCCTCCCTTTTTCTGTTAAAACAGAAAAAAGGAATACATCGCTGTACAAAATGCAGACTGCAATTTTTGACATGCAAAGAGAAAATGGATCATAAGACTCAACATCATAGAACATTTATAAAACCTAAACAACTGGAAGGATTGCCTCCTGGAACAAAAGTGAGTTTAAATGTGTTGTATTTTAACATTTTGTATGATAATAGAAATTAACTCCTGCCTTCTTTTATCTGTTGAATATACTTTAAAAAATGATGTCTGATTTTTATTAAGCCTTTAATTTTAGGTTTTATCATTCCTATATCTAGAAAAAAAACCTTCTGACCATCGTTTTATGGTCGGTGGTGTGTGCTGGGCTAAAGTGATATTCCTTTGTAAAAAGTGCAACTAGATTAACTATTCCTTGGGTCAGTGGGTTGTGTCAATTTTATATAGGCTGTGTTGGAGCTATTCCAGTTGGCAGTGTATATGTTGGTTTTATCTGCTAAACTATAAGATGCTTGAGATCAGGACTCATGTTTTATCTTTGTGTCCTCAGCATCTGGTATAGTGCCTTGAGTGCCATAGGTTCTCAGATCTTTATTGACGTTGTTATTACTGAGTCTACTGTCAGAGAAGCAAGTTCTGCTGCTGGATAGCATTATGTTTTAAGTGAGCAAACAACATGTCTGACTGTATACTGATGATTGTAATTTACTTTTCCCTTTTTGCCTTATATACCTCTGTTTTCTCTGACTTCTTTATATACAGTCAGCTCTTGAATATTTGCTCCAGTGGAGGGAAACAGAGGCATGGATAATCCAAAGTGAAATAATCCCCAAAACATTTATATTTGGCTTTGGGTACTTACCTTTGAATGTGGGTATGTCTGTTATTTGAATTAACTAAAACAATATAAAGCCATGCTCTGAAGACCTAGAGCAAGAGAAGCTATCCAGCATCCTTCCCTGCAGTCCATTCATTCCATGCTGGAACTAGACATGCAGAACACTAATGTAAGCAGTGCAGTCCTCTCTCATATTTTCCCTTATTAATAATAATAGTAATAATATTAATAATGATACTAAATGTTTTTATAGCACCTTAGAATAAGGCTTTTGGTATGCTTTTTCATACATTCTATTACTTAATCCATACAGCAATCCAATGAGGAAGATAAGGCAGTTAATTGCCCCATATTGTAGATAAAGAAGAGGATAAGTTACTTATTCAAGGTCACATGGCTAGAAAGGCATGGTATGAGATTTAACCTCAGGTCTTTTGATTCCTAGTCCAGTGCTTTTGTGTGATACCAAAACACATGTATTTCATAGGACTTCCTCATAGTCTGTTCCTCAAATACATGCGAGAAGTATAGTTAAATGATTAATGAGAATGTTGGTAGGCAATTGTTTTTCATTGCCAACCAACAAATATAATTTCTGGATACTAAATGATAAGCTTTATATTAGTTCTCTTTAAGGAAATTCTAAATATTACTAAACTCTCCATCAGTATAATGAATTGATGTAACCACTCCCATAACCTTTGTATACATAAATCCTGCCTAATGAGCCCCTGGAAAGAGGAGGTCGTGTTTACTCTAGATCTTTTTGTTTTATAGTTTTTGAGGGGTAATGCAGGCCTTTCTAGAATTATTTTTTGGGCTCTGAGATTTAAATTTTGATCTCTGTGTTTGTGAATTATTTAAGTTATATCAGAGCATAAAAATAGCTATGGAATGTGCTCTTTCAGTAGTCATATAATTTGCATTAACTCCTAATTATACATTAATAACTGTTAACATGACTGATATCAATACAAAAATGTAGTATTACAAGTGAATAAATATCAAGTTTAATATAATTTAATTGGTATGAACATTTAGAATAAATGGAAGACTTATCCAATTATAGTTTATACTTGCCCTTTCCAAATACTCAATGTTTAACTTTTTGTTATACAGTGATATTTTAATACTAATGCCATGATTAATTTTCTAAAGCAAACATTATCCATTTTTGTAGGTTACTATTCGAGCTTCAGTTGGACCGCTTCAGTCAGGATCTTCAACTACACCTTCCATTAGTGCAAGCACTTCTACCCTTCAGCTCTCACCTCCAAGGACTAAAAATATAACTGCTAAAAATCCCACAAAATCTAACACAAGCAAACCTAATCCAACTAAATCCAATACAAGTAAACCTAATGCAAGTAAGCCTAATGGAAGTAAATCTAAATATAAATCAAAAATCTCTAATATGCAAAAGAAACAAAGCACATTGGCTAGTAGCAATAAAAAAAGTAAAGTCAATACAGCATTGAGGAACTTAAGGTAATCTTTTATTCCTCATATATAACACTAATTTAATCTTAAGTATAAAAACTTTATTTAATATAGATTTACTCTATTACACAGCTCTCTTGTACATTTATATGCTATCACTATGACATAAAGGCCAAGCAAATAATAAAAAGGTATTTTTTTACAACTATTGAACAGTACTTGAATTATTTTTTATAATATTCATTTATTATATTGGTATTATTATATGTTGTGCTTATATCTTGTGATGTTTGTATTGCTTAATTTAATCCCTTTTATGCCAATGAAAAATACTGACTTATGTTAGATTGTTTACACTTACTCTAGTTGTTGTTCCATAACAGATTTTTCAAATTATGACTCTTATGTTCATTTAAACACCTTGGCCTTAATTAACAGAATATTAATAAGGCCCTTCCTTATTATTTTTGTTTTAAAATATATTTTTATCATTTTCTTTATATCTCCATAAGGTATCGTCGGGGAGTTCACAAGTGCATTGAGTGTTGTTCCGAAATAAAAGATTTTGCAAATCACTTTCCTACGTATGTCCATTGTAGTTTTTGCAGATACAACACTAGCTGTAGCAAAGCCTATGTAAATCATATGATGAGGTAAGATGAGTTAAACATCGGTAATTACCAATTAAAATTATAGTTCAGAAAGTTTGTTTTAAAACAGTTATCCTTTAAGGAGCTAAATGTCTCATAATAGGGAACTTTTAGGATAATGCCTGGAACTATTTTCCCAGCATCATAACTCATAAAATTACTGGGACTAAAATTATAAGAACAGTTAGACTAAGAAATTAGGATAGGTTTGTTAGGGAAATGGTTTCTCTATGGGCATTTTTTTTTCCTATAGAATTTTTTAAATGGTCATTTTCAAATATAGAAAGTCAAATGTTTTAAATATATTTACCAAACAAATACATGTAATCTCATGAATATTATTCTTTCAAAGCAGTTACTTTGAGGGACTGTAAGATTTTTAGTGATCTTAGGAACTTTATTGGGTCTGTTTTTCTCTCTCTCTTTCTCTATAATCCATGGTCTCTGTCTGTCCATCTACCCATCAAACCATCTATCCTTGCATTCATTCAGTGGAATGAGAGACATGAGGCCACTGTTGTTGGGGAATTCTTTTTTATTAATTCATTCAACTTGGGTTATTTGAGTAGCTAATATTTGCTCTATGCAGAGAAAGCTTTCACAGCCCACATTGCTTTCATTTGTATCTCATTAATAGAGGCATCCCTTAGGATGGATTTTTATTTTTTTTAAAATAGTCAAAAATTGTTTAGATATAGAGCAGTTAGGTTGATTATTCAAAGTGAGGTGGTTCTTTTTTTTTTTTTTAAGTTAGAACTGAAGAATGAAAGTGATTTTCTTACAGATCATAAAATGACCTCTATGTTACTTTCTGGTCACTTCTCAGCTACTGTTTTCAAGGATTTGCCCACCTTTCTTGATGGCTTAACACCTCTCTCATACATTCTTTCCTCCTTATTAGCCTGACATCAGGTACCTGGACTTCTTCAGTGCCAGTGCTTCACATCAACTGTTAAGTTATTGTACCCCCTTTCTTATACCACAGTACCATTTTAATCTCATCATACCCACTGTTCATTTCTTTCCAATTCCTCTTACCCTGTAGGATAACTCCTTTTGAGTTTTTAGGACTTTGACTCCTTTTTCCAGTCCAGCAGCACCTATTTAATTTTATAGTCAACCTCACCCTCAGGGTCATCTGTTTTGATTGCTGCTTTGTTTTTGCTGTGGAATCCTTTACATTTTTAGTCGTGCTCACTTGGCATAAAACCCAACATGAGACTAGAACATCTTCCTCTCCTGAAGTTTATGCTCAGTTCTAGACTACTCAACTGGTGTTTGATTCAATCAACTCTGACTTTGTGGTCTTTAACTTTGACTGGGTCCTATCTTTTTATTTTAAAATACTTCTTTATTTTTTAATACTTCTTTTTTAGTTTTTTTTTTTATTCTATTCAGTTAGCCAACATAGAGTACATCATTAGTTTTTGATGTCGTGTTTTATCTACAATGTTTATTTAAACTTTTTCCAGTACTCTGGAGATTTTATTTTAGTTTTGTAGCTGTTAACCTGGTCTACTAGTAAGTACTCAGTTGGAAGTCATCCTTTTAAATAATCTAAAACGTCAAATGTTTTTCTTGTTACTTTTATTCTAGACATTGATCTCAGAAATCACGTATATTCTATTTCTCCAAAGCTAACCCTGTCCCTTGTCACCTCTAGTTCTTATACAGTCTTGTTCAGTTAACTTACAACTTCATTTCTTCTCTCTCCCAGGTTCCTTCTACTTATAAACATTTTCAGGTAATTTTTTTAAGATGAAGGAAATTTGTCCCTACTGCCTACTATCCTTATATTTTGTCTTCCTCTTACCATGAATATTTGTAATGGGGTACCTGGGTGGCTCAGTTGGTTAAGTGTCTGATTCTTGATGTCAGCTCAGGTCTCAATCTCAGGACCTCAGAGTCGTGAGTTCAGCCCTGTGTTGGGCTCCACACTAGGCATGGAGCCTACTTAAAAAAAAAAAAAAGTGTTTACTAGCTTATTTGTTATTCATTTCTTTACCTTTTGAATATCATCCCCATCTACCAACTAACACTGCTCCTTTAAAGATTATTTATCACCATGTTTATTCACTTTTTTTCACTCTTACTACTTCATGACTTCTTTAGAGTATTTGAAGTTGTCATCACTCATTTTTGAAAGTATTCTCTTTAGCTTCTGTTAAACTGTTACCACTATCTTTTTTCTTCCTTTTTGGCTACTCTATTTCATTGCCTTTTCTTCCTTTAACTCATCACCCTTCTTTACATTTCCTTTTTTGGTAACTTAAGCAGTCACTTTTAACTTTCAACTCTAAATCTTCCAATTTTAGTCCTTAGTCTTCCTGAGATCCAACTCTGTATTTCCAATTATTTTATATGTATTTTTACCTTTGATTCACTAGCATCTAAAAAGAATGAACCAAACATTATCATCTGTCTAGAATTCACACAACGACTACCCAAATACTCTTTCAGGGCATCATTTCTGTGCATGTGGAACACCAGCTGGAAATAGTTCACTATCCCAAGTTTCTTAAGCTCGTGAAGTTCTCTCGATCAGCCACTGTGCATCATGGCTTTCTGAGACTCCCCTCTTTGCATTCTGCTACTCTGCTTCCCAACTACTGCAGTGGTCTACACCTATATTCCATTTCCTCTAAACCAGGCTCCAGGCATCCTTTCCCCCAGTATACTGCTGTGTGGACAAATACATGGTTGCCTGAATGGGGCTTTAATTCTGCCCTTAATTTGTAGGGGGTCAAATTGGAAAATGTTTTCTGTTTTGTTAAACCAAGGGTCGTTTCACCTTTCCCTCTCCCATTTATCATAGGCTTCCCACCTGTCCTATGGAACCTTCAAATCCATTCTATTCCAACATTGCCGATTAGCCCACCTCCCTCCATACCCTTTTGCCTGTTCCCAGTGAGCCCCAGCCCTGCACTTCATTTTCTTCACACATTGAGCTCCTACTCATTGTTAGCCTCTTATGGAACTGAAAGATTCCACTGCCACTTTTAGGGTTTGGTAGGTCTCTTTTCCTTTTTATCTACTGGTACACTTGCCTCCTTCCCTGTCTTAGGTATCTCCTTGAATGGCCACCATTACCTCTGCCCAGTGTGAATTCATTATTATAGGTTGAGTTCTGTATGTGTAGGAGCTTCATTTTCTCCAGAGGATGAGTACCTTTAATCTCTATCCTATACCACCTCTGTACTCTCAATTGGTCTCTTTCCCTCTGGTCTCATATTTGCCCCATTCCCGTAAACTGACTACTCTTCCCCAGAGTAAAGTTTATTGCATAACTCATTTTTTTTTAAAAGAGTTTATTTATTCATTTGTGGCACAGAGAGAGAGAGAGAAAGAGAGAACATGAGCAGGGGAAGAGGCAGAGGAAGAGGGAGAAGCAGGATCCCCACTGAGCCAGGAGCCCAATGTGGGGCTCAATCCCAGGAACTTGGGATCATGATGACCCAAGGCAAAGGCAGACGCTTAACCATCTGAGCCACCCAGGCGCCCCTGCATAACTCATTTTTGTCAGTGGTGATTCCTTTTTCTTTTTAAGTCTCTAGAATGTCCCTATTCTTCCTTTCCATTTACCTTCTTTTTTGGGGAGTGTCTGATCACCACAACCACTCACAAGGATCATTCCTCACTTTGAGCTGTGTATCATTCATTTATTTTGCCTTTTATTATATTTGTTTGTGTCTATATTATTTCCTTAAGAAGGGGCTGTTTGTATTCGCCTTGTCACCTAGCACATTACAAACAGCAAGTCATTATTTGTTGTAATTATAAAAAGCTCTAAATAAAATCTCAAGAGGATATTAAAAAATCTTGATGCATTTAGAAACTTTTTGGAATAAGACTCTTGAAGAAGAGCATCATTAAACATGTAATTTTAAGTGATTTTTTAAAAATAATAGTATTATTTGGGTTTGGTTGTTTAAATTACTGCACCTTATTTGCTTATAGCCTTCAGGTAGCACTAGAAGTCACCTGAAAAAAATGGAAACAAATTACCATATAATATTGTTATTCCTCAACATGATGTATAAGAAAGGTTTTTCTCTACATGTAATAGAATTAAGTTAATGGACATAAGTATTTAATATCTCTTTTTCTAGCAGAGTTTACTATTTGCTAAGAAGTATGGCAAGCTGGTGGTGAAGAATCAGACAAATCTGGATTTGAATCCAAGCTTCACCACTTATTTATTACCTGTGACTTTGGGCAAGTTACTTAACCTGACTCCCAGTTTCCTTTTCTCAAAAAGAAAGTCATTGTGATAATTACAGAAAATGTACTTAAAGTGCTTAATAAAATGATTTTTACTTAGGAGATGTTCAAATAATTATAGCTGTTATCATTTCTAAATTGTCATTATTAGGTATTGTGGATAAAGTCCTTGCCTCTAATTTTAACAATTTTAGTAGGAGAGATAATATTTACCTAACTTAAGGTGATAAACAGATGACTATGAGAGCACAAGAAGGTAAGAATGAGTTCTTTCAACAGGAAAAAAGGGGAGGTATTCTATAAATGACATTTCACATAGCCTTAGAAGGATGATCTAAAATTATTCCAAGGAAAAAGAAAGCTTGTATAACAGTTTGTTCCTATACAATGGATAAGACAGAGCACTGAATTAATTTTTATAAGATGTGTTTGAGTTCATTATATATTTTGTATAGATTTATTGGCATTAAGTAATAGTCATTAGAAGAACAATTGGATTATTGTGATAGCATCATAACTGATGTCCTGTGTACAGTCCGCCCCCTCCCCCCTCCAGTTCTTCCTTTCTTCTGTTCCTACAGTAGGCATGTCTGATCGGGTCATTTTTGGCCTAAAATCCTTTGCCTTCCTAACATTAATAGTCATGAAGTTCAGATATTCTGGAGAGTATAAGACCTTTCAATATTTAATTTCTAACCACTTTTCCAGCTCCTTTAGTGCTTTTTTCCTGAAAATCCCTCTGTATCTTGCTCTTTGCTTTGTCTGGAGCAAGGCAGTAGTGACCTTCTTAACTGAAATGAAGTCCTGATTGTTAGTTGGCTTCTTTTCTATTTACTTGCAGTTTTCCTTCATGCAGCCACAAAACTTTGTATGTATCACTATTAACGTTTATCTTATAATTATTTATGAATATGTATTCATTCATTTAAAAGCACTTATTAGGCATTATTCTGTGCTAGATGTTGTTTGACTTTTTCCCCTCCCCCCACTCACCCCTGGACTTTGACAGCTTGCCCTCTTTTTTTTTTGTATCTTCAACCTCTAGTGTAATGTCTTAAGTAGTAGGCATACCATCAATATTATTGATGTTCCTTTTGTGTTTCATCAGAAACAAAGTTGTTAATGGTACTGAATTGAGATTATTAAGAAAATATGGTCAAAGGGAGTTTTTTCCCCTCTAGTCTTATTGAGGTATAATTTATAAACAATGAAATTAACTTATGTTTAGAGAATAGCTTAATGAGTTTTGATAATTATGTACAGTCATATAACCAGGTGGTGAATTTTTAAAACCTAGACTTTAACATATGTTTTTACTATGTTGTTTTTAAAATCGTAACCTTTTTTCTCTTCTCTTAGATTTATTTCTATATTGTTATTAACTTTATGCAGATCTAATAGGAAAAAGGAGAATTTTTTTCCTTATTTGTGAGCTATAGACTATAATACAAGAATAATAAAGGATGGAATTTGTGTAACATACAAATAAAGAGGCACTATAAGTTTTTTTTGTAGATTGGAAACTCTAAATTAAAACTGGATTCGGACAACTAGAATTTTAAAATTACCAACATTTTAATAAGTTACAAGTTGTAGACAGAATGGAAGCCATCAAAGACCCTAAAATGTAATTTTTTTTCTCTTCTCAAACCAAAATTGTCTGAGGAAAAAGAAAAAATAACTTTTAAAAGTAACTTTTAAATCTCATTTAAAAAATAACTTATTTTGGTTCACATTCTTTGAGCATCAGATAAAATCTTGGATTTATTCTTCTGAAGAAACAGTTATGTGCACAAATTTTTGCATATAATTTCAGTGTTTCCTAACTCCCAATGTTCTCTTCTTAAAAAAAAAAACCTACTTTATATTTTTGTGATGTTGTCTTATATTTATAAGATATTCATATAAATGTCTTATATTTAATAGTAGTTATCCCCAAATTGAAGAAATGACTTAGAAGTCTTCTGAGGACATTTTCTGGGGATTATAGCAAGTCACAGTGTTTCTTTTCCCATACAGTACATGCTGTACTGATGATGGTTACCTTGTATCTGAGAGTTACCATTGACCTGGTGTGTTGGCTACTTTGAGTCTTTCAGTGCAAACTAGGGCTACCGCTGCTCAATCTTTAGCTTGCATAAGAATTACTGGAAAAACTTGTTAAAACAGGTTCTGGTAGGCCCCACTGCCAGAGATTAATTCAGTTAGGTTTGTTGGGGGGGGGGGCGCACAAGAATTTGCATTTCTAAATAAGCTCCTAGGCGATGCTGATGTTACTAGTCTATGACTCCACTTTGAATAGTACTGTGCTAAAGCTAATCCTGGGTTTCTAATACAGGAAAGCTTTCTTTACCAGATTTAAAAGGGTAAATGAAAGCTATTATCATTGGCTACAAAATTTGGTTAGAGGTTCTCTGTTTTGTGTTTAGGGGGAGCATTATTTTAGCTCAAGAGTTCTGCTTTAGTTTGTTTTTTATAGAACTTCTACTAGTAATTGCAAAGAACTCTTTAAATGTTTGATTTTACAAATGGTAAACAGTGGCAATTAGCTGAAGTACTATTTACTTCACAGATCATTTGGATTTTACTCCCCCTCCCCTGATATAGGCATGTTAAAATTGGAAAATGATTTTTAAAAAATGATGATTGATAATGATTCATGTTATTTGCAAGAATTTGTCTTCAACTGTTCCTTAACAGAGGAAAAAAACTAGTTTGAGGTACTTTACTTTTTAAAAAGAATTTTAAGTATTTCCTTTTTTTATGTAATGGTAAGGTACTGATCTTATAAGAATATACTTAGAGAAATATGTGTCATTAGAAAATAAAAGGATAAAGTGGAATTTAGAATAAAACATTGAATTAAACAGGGATGGCAAGCATTATTTTATTATTTATATCATGATCTTTTATGTAAAACTAGAAACTTTAAGTACAAACTTGATAATAAAGCTATAAATTAATAAGACTTACTGTATAATAAAATTAATAATATCTGTTTTGTCTCTCCAGCTTTCATAGTAACCGTCCAAGTAAAAGGTTTTGTATTTTTAAGAAGCATTCAGAAGATCTCAGGTAACTAGCTGATCTTTTTAAAATCTTTATATTGAAAAATTATTTAACTTAAATTGTGTATATATGACATCTTTATTGAGATATAGTTCATATACCATTTAATTCATTCCTTTAAATTGTACAGTTCATAGTTTTTGGTGTATTTACAGAATTGTGCAGCCGTCACCACAGTTAATTTTAGTACATTGTCATCACTCCAAAAAGAAACTCTTGTACCCATTAACGGTCATCCCCATTTCCTCCCAACTCCTCCCATCCCTAAACAACCACTAATCTAATTTTTGTTTGTATAGATTTATGTATTGTGGACATTTCGTATAAACAGAATGATGCAATATGTGATCCTTTGTGACTGGCTTCTTCCACTTAGTGTATTTTCAAGATTCGTCCATGTTGTAGCATGTCAGTACTTCATTTTTTATTGCTGAATAATATCCCATTGTATAGATCTACCATAGTTTGTTTATCTGTTAAGGTTATTTTAATTTTGAAGCCATTATGAATATTGCTGCTATAAGCATTTGTATACAAGTTTTTGTCTGGACTTGTCTTTTCATTTCTCTTTTGTACGTGTGTAAGGATTAGAATTTCTGAGTTATATGGTAACTCTATGTTGAGCCTTTGAAGACCTGCCAAACTGTTTTACAAAGTACCTCCACTACATTCCGACAAACAGTGTGTGAGGGTTTCAGTTTCTTTACATCTTTGCCAACACTTGTTATTATCTGGTTTTTTTTTTAAGATTTTATTTATTGATTTGAGAGAGAGAGATAGCAAGAGTGGGGTTGGGTACAGAGGGAGAGAGAGAGACGCGGACTCCTCACTGAGCAGGGAGCCTGATGCGGGGCTCAATCCCAGGACCCTGGGATCATGACCTGAGCCGAAGGCAGATGCTTAACTGACTGAGCCACCCAAGCGCCCCTATCTATTTTTGATCACAGCCATCCTAATGGGTATGGAGTGGTATCTAATTGTGGTTTGTTCTAATTTTTTAAAAACCTGATGTTAGGAAGACCAATCTAAATGATTGCTGCTGGATGTTAGAGAGTTCTATTCATTATATCCTTAGACTAGAGGTATGATTAGCCTATATTCTCTTGCTAAATGTGTTTCAGTGGTGACAAGTGTACCAAGATGATATCTTTATGCATTTATATTGTAAAGTGAGAACAAAAATAAGGCCTCCAACGATATTTGAATATTAAAAAGATATCTAAGATACCTAGTAAAATGACTAACACTTTTTTTAGTTTTGAAGTACATTTCTCAAACCACTGGAATTCTTGAAATTGTTAGGTAGCTTAGTAATTCTTATTTTTCCTTTATCAAAGAGAAGTATACAACTTGCTTACTGTTTACTGTGCAGAAAGAACTATTGATGAATATTTCTAAAGACATTGATAATTAACTTTGGTTGTACCACATGCTTAACTCAGAATCAACTGAGCACCATTTTTTCTTAATATTCTTCGGAATTTTTTGGACTCTGTTGTTCTTTATTTTGTTCACATTGCCATTGCTACTTGAAATAATCAGTGTCTTTGCTGTCCTCAGCTAATATATAGAGATAAGGTTAGCCAGTACTTGTTTTGGTGCTTTGAGTTAGTGGAAAAGGTGGAACAAGGGATGATACTATGTTTCAGGGCCTTTGTACTTATTAGTCCCTGTGACTAGTCTTGTTCCCCAGATTTCTGTATGTATTCCTTTATCTACTTTGGGCTGCTACTCTGATCAGAGTGAGCCTTTCCTTGACCACTTGATTTTACCTTGTATCTTCTCCCCTGTGCTTCACCCCAGCACTTCCTATCTCCTTTTTATTCTACATTTTTATCCAGATTATCTTTCATCATCTAACATACTGTGTCCTTTTTAAAATTTTCTGTGTCCTCTCGCTAGAATATGTGTAGTTTGGATTTTTGTCTCTGCCAGGCATTGACTAGTGCCTGACACATGGTAGGCACTCAGTAAATATTGTTGAATAAGTTAATGTATATGTTGAAAATTATTTATATGAACAGTAGGTCCCACCTATGCTATAGCTCATAGGGATCAGTAGCTCACAGGGAGAGAAAATTTTGATTTAGTTTTAAAAATATAGTAGTATAAATTCTAAAACATTTACTGAATTCAAGGAAATGGATTAAGATTAGATTAGATGTTGCCTTTACTGAAAATTTTTATAGGAATAAAAAAGGGTTTTTTTTCAAAAGATGAGATTTTGGTTTGATTTTTACCTTACTGTTGTCAGTCTCAGTTATGTGTGTGTTTTTTTAAATGAACTATATGATTTTAAAGATCTGGAATACTTTTCTTTCAACTGGAATAGGTCTGAAATAAAAAACTGGTCAATTTCTGTGAATGGACATAGCATACTTACGATTATAGAACAATAATTTTTGTGATTACTCTTTTGTCTGAATGGAATATTCATTCTTTGGTTATTTATTATACATCTGTCAGGTACATAATATAGCAGGTCTTATGAAGACGACAGTGATGAATAGGTCTTGGAATCAACCATCAGGGAATGTATAGTTTATTGGGTGGGAGATAAGGGGTGAATGTATAAAACTATAATAAAGCAAGGAGGACCTTTAGTAAGCTCAATAGGGTCTTTTTTCCAAAGGGGAGGGTGATAACTTGGAATGATCTGCATAGGTGTTAGATATACTTGGCTTTAAAGAATGAGCATTGTTTATACTGATAAAAGATGCACAGAGGCATTTGAGTTAAAAGAAATAGCGTGAATAAAGGTGCAGAAATGAAAAAGTACAAGGCATACAGAGGGAATGGCTAGTAGTAAATGGATGGAGCATGAAGTTTAGATAATAGTAATAAGATTGAAGTCTGGAGCAGTAGTTTTAAGCTTAGAGCTAAATTGTGAAAGTGTTGAAAATAAGGTTAAGGAGTTTGGACTTAATTTGGAGAGCATTAGAGAACCTTTGATATTTTATATAGAATCAAGTGATACTGAATGAAGGTTCAATAGTAAGGTAAGTTATAGATGCATGAATCCTATAGATTAGGACTATTGTGGTAGTTATGAACAATTCAGTAGGGCCTAAGTTAAAATGATGAGGCAGTATTACATCATGTTTAAGAATATGGGCTCTGTCTGGAATCGAAATGCTCAGTTTCAAATCTAGTCCTGACCTTTATCAGCTCTGTGTTTTTGGTAGTTTACTAAGCAAACTTTGTTTTTAAAGATTTTATTTATTTGACAGACAGAGAGCACAAGTAGGCAGAGAGGCAGGCAGAGGGAGAGGGAGAAGCAGGCTCTCTGCTGAGCATGGAGCCTGATGCAGGGCTCAATCCCAGGACCCCAGGATCATGACCTGAGCTGAAGGCAGCCGCTTAACCAACTGAGCCACCCAGGTGCCCCTTACTAAGCAAACTTTATAAAAAGGTGATAAATTATAGCAACTACCTTTTTAGGTCATTAAAATATTTATGTGTTTATTTATTAAAGATTTATCTATTTGAGAGAGAGAATAAGAATGGGGGGAGGGGCAGAGGGAGAAAATCCCCAGGCAGACTCCCCACTGAGTACAGACCCCACGCAGGGCTCCATCCCACAACCCATGAGATCATGACCCAGCCAAAACCAAGAGCTAGACACTCAACCAGCTGAGCCACCCAGTTGCCCCAAGTTGTTAAAATATTTAGATAAAATGATATGTCTAAAATTGTTAGACTGGCACAGTATAAGTACTCAATAAATAATATTATAATCTTGCCATACTGAATATTTTAAGGAAGAGACAGATAACTGTAGTTTGAGCTTTACTATTGGAGGAAACATCATAAGAAAGATCAGTCATGGGGTGCCTGGGTGGCTCAGTTGTTAAGCGTCTGTCTTCGGCTCAGGTCATGATCCCAGGGTCCTGGGATCGAGCCCCACGTTGGGCTCCATGCTCAGCGGGAGGCCTGCTTCTCCCTCTCCCACTCCCCCTGCTTGTGTTCCTGTTCTCGCTGTCTCTCTCTCTCTGTCAAATAAATAAAATCTTAAAAAAAAAAAAAAAAAAAAAGAAAGAAAGATCAGTCAGGAGAAGTTGATTTGGGGAAGAAGTACATGATTTTAGTTTAATGAAGGTCAGTTTTGATGTGCTAATGTGACGTCTAGGTGTAGATACAGAGCACACTGTTAGACTAGAACTTCAGGGGAGAAGTCAGTCTAAAGTATGTTACTTGTTTGTATTTTGTATATTGGCAAAACTTAAAATTTTAAAGTATGTGATGAACTTCAAAACCGCATTTATGCTTTGTTAATAAGTTGACAGTAACAATGATCACATTACATGATCTATTTTTTTTTCACCTAAGCAAAAATCACTTATAAGGAGGATTTCAAAGAATCTCATGGAGGAAGAGGTGCAACCAGAACAAATAAGGGAAACAAAGCCATCAGTTACTACCATGGCTTCTCTCTAGTCTGACCTGCTGAAGCAGGATGATCTTGTCTTTATTATTTTCTCTGGACCTGGGTTCCATTTTCCTTCCTTAGTGCAGACAAGCTTTCTCTATTGGTGACTTGAATATACTAGTCCCAGTCTCCCACAACTTCCCAGATCAAGAAATTTGATTATAAATCCCAGTTTTACAAATCCTTGTTTAGTGAAGGCATGATGAGTTAGGCATTCCATCCCTGGTGCAAGTAACTATGACTAGTGGAATAGTAATTTAGCTACTACTTACCATTGAGACTACTTTTGGTTTCTGCAAGGGCAGTTTATTAATAGAGAAGACTATATAATTAGTTATTAAAGTTAAGCTTTTAAGTTTAACTTAAAAATACTCCATTTAGAAATCTAGTACATTTTAGTAATCACTTTCAAGAGGACTTTTAATTAATGTTTGATAAAGTTCACTTAAGTTGAATAAATTTTTTAAACAGTCACATTTAGGGCGCCTGGGTGGCTCAGTTGGTTGGACAACTGCCTTCGGCTCAGGTCATGATCCTGGAGTCCCTGGATCGAGTCCCGCATCGGGCTCCCTGCTCGGCAGGGAGTCTGCTTCTCCCTCTGACCCTCCCCCCTCTCATGTGCTCTCTCTCTCATTCTCTCTCAAATAAATAAATAAATAATCTTTAAAAAAAAAATAAACAGTCACATTTACAATTCAAGTTCCTTAAATACCTTAACATCATTTATACATTTAATATATTTGATTTTCTTTTAAACAGCATTTTGTATGCTTGACTCATAAGATCCAAAGTGCTTAATCTAGTAAATATATAATAAGTTAAACATAGAGTGGTTTTCTAAGTTCTCTGAATATTTCCATATTTTTGCAGGGCTAATAATATTTTTAAATACCTTTCAACAAAAAATCAAAAGTTTAAACAATTTAAATTAGAATCTGAAGGCCAGTGTTACATCCTGTATGCCAATTATGTTTAAATATTTTCAAATAGCAAATGCTACACAGTCTGATCCAGTGAGTATAAAAACTATTCCTGAATTCAACAAAAAGTATTGACAGCTTTGGGAATTGTTTCCAAACATTTTTTAAAATTTATAATCATTACAGATTTCATTTAGGAACTGCAGCCCTCAGTGGAGTTTTGTTAAGGAACAAGTAATTTAGGTCCCAGATAGTGGACCAGTTCACTGTGCTCATATGCTAAGGACCAAGCTTTGGACATCTGTAGTGAATTAACTACTTTAGTTAATTCAGTGTTAAATGAGAATAATGCCAACCTTGGATAGTTTTGGTGAGAATTAAACTAAAAATATATGGAAAACCTTTAACACATGGTACACAATTGATGGCAGCTACAACATCATCTCTTTTTAAAGCCTTAACGTTTCTCTTCTAATTTTTTCATCACCTAAATAAAACACTAGATTATAAGCTCTGTTAGAGCACAGACTATATTTTTTGGTGATCATTATAATCACAATGCGCTATAATAGTACAGTGTATATAAAGACAGCCTCAGTAAACATATATTGAGTGAATTAATACTATATCCTTGCTTTGCAGATGAACAGAGGCACAGATAGATGGTGACTTGTTAAAATAACACAAGTTGTTAGTGAGGCCAAGGCTGGGCTGTAGGTCTCCTGTCACCTAGTTTTTAGCATGAGTAGTAAAAGTTTATAAAACAAAAATACTTTCTGTAAATAAATGGTAGCATAATTTGAATATGGCTATTCCATTTTCCAGACAATCATTTCAGTTATATCAAGTTTTATAACAAAAACAGGAGTGACAGTTATGACATAAAAAACAAATTATAGAAAAATAATCATTGAACTTATGTATGGATTTTTATAAAAGATGAAAACCTTTTCTTTTATACTATTTGCTTTTTTTTTTTATAGGGGCATTACTCTAGTGTGCCTTAATTGTGATTTCATAGCTGATGTTTCTGGCTTAGATAATATGGCCACACACTTAAGTCAACATGAAACTCATACTTGTCAAGTTGTAATAGAGAAAGGTACGTATATATCATTGTATTACTTTGGATTTTTGGTATTTATTCCAGTATTTTTGGTCAGCCACAATATGGGCTCTTTACTAAATCGTTATTCTCACTCATCATATTTCATGTGCTGTTTTAAATATAAAACTTTTCTTCTAATTTCAGTTTCTGTTTGTATCCCAACTTCTGAACATCTTTCTGAGTAAGTTTAATTTTTACTTCAGTGCATTTTACTTTGATGGATTTTAGCAGTATTGCATTTTAAAATGTATCATTAAAAGAAATGAAAAATATTAAAGTTTTTTGTTTTTTTTTTAAAGCTGCTTGTTGAAATAGGTTCCTGCTCTTTGGAGCTCGTGACCTGGTGCAAGACAAGTTGGAATTTCCTAAGTTCAAAGTTCTGAGATGTTTTCTTACACAAAGGCAGTTAAGCAGCCAAGTTCATGACACTAGCTCTCATTATTCAGCAATTTTCAGCTTCAAATGGGACTAGATTCTTATTCCACCTTATCTTTGTGTCAGGTTGACATATCTTAACATGTGTTTTGGTTTTTTTTTTCCAGTTGGCTCTCTCCAAAAATAACTTTTGTTGCTATGGTCATTTCTTACTTTGCTAAAATAATTTGTGTTTTTCTCTGCTGTACTTGACTTCAGAATAATACATTCCAAATGATATGGCTGTTTGTCTTTTTGTGTTTTGTCTGCTTTCGTAATTTCTTATAAGTCTTAAGTTTTTAGGCCAGATGATTGTCTTTTTCCTCATCCGTTGTCTGTCATTGTGCTATTTTTCTTATTTTTCAGATGCAGAGGCAGCCCAGAGATTTCAAAAAATGTCCAGGGTACACCTGGACAGTGTCCCCCTTCGATGGACACAACTGATGCCTGTTCTCTCTTTTCAAGGAATGTGAATAATTTGACTGTGGGACCTGCTGTAGGTTGTGGTCTCAAGAAATCAGATTTTGGGGAGACTCCCTTCCTTCATGGCTGGCCTCCCGTCAGGCTGATGATGATTTAGCCAGAGATGGTCTCAGGGCCCACCAAATTGAGCACACCTTCCCACTGGGGGCTTTGGCTCTTGATCTTAAGCTTGTGGGTCGCTTGTGGCCAAGAAAACCCCATCAGATCAGTGCTTCAACATCCAAGTTGAAGTATAGTCATTTTGGCTGCTGCCTTTTAATCTTCATCTAGCATGAATGCAGTCCAAGGAATACAAAAGCTCTCTGGTTGTTAGGAAACCATGGTTATTTTCATGTCCTTGGAACAACAGGTCTCTAAAATTATGTTCCAAATTGCAGTTATTTTTCTATCATTTAAAATATATTACTCAGTACTAACTTTCTAGTTTTTTAGGAATACCAATTCTCAGATTTTTGAATTTTAAAAAATTTAATTTTGAACTTGGTTTTATGTTCTCCAAATTTACTGATGTCTATTTTATGATGTTTATTTTTATATTCTTTTCTTTAAAACTGTTGTTTAGTGTTTGCTTTGTTTTGTTAAGAACTCCAAGAGATTCTCTGGAATTCTCTACGGATTCCCTTATAGCTGCCTATTTATAGCTTTTTATTTTGGCTGTTGTTCAGACCATTTGACATTATGATATCCTCTGTCTTACTTTGGGATTATTATGATCAATATTATCTTAATAATTGTGGGTTTTAAAGTGTAAAGAATTGGCAAAACCTCTTCTTGCAGACCTTAAACAAGTTTTAAAGTCACATATTTGTACATCTAATATATAATATCCACTTAAGCATTAACGTAGTCTCTTTGGGTAAAGGTAACATTAAAAATTATGGGGACCAATAATGTAGTTGTTTATATTTTTATATATATATATATACATACATACATATATATCTCCTCATACATATGTATATTTTAAGAATTTGACATTTGTTTATTTTAGTTACATTAAATATAGATCTACTAAACAGTTTTGATGCTATTAATTTCTTTTAATAAAAAATTGTATTGTTTAAGTGCCTCAGGAATTATTTACTAATAAAGAATTCATATGAAAGCTCTAGATTTATCATATAAATAGGAGGATTGCTTTAATTGTTTTATGGAGGCCTTTTTATTATTTGGCCTACAAACTGAAAGCTATATCTACTTAATGCACCGTACATTGTTTTCCTCCAGGACAATTGAAAGGTCACTATACTATACCAATTTCTTGAATCTTAAAGACAAGCAAAATGCCTTTTGTAATCTTACCTGCTGTGAGGATAGGCAGGCTCTGAAAGTATGACTCAATTATGTTTTTTACTCTAAAATCAGAACTTCTTTAATTTTACTTAGAAAAGAAACTTAACACCAATTTAGATGACTGCATGTTATGTAATGTGCTCCTTGCAAATAATAATCAAAAAAGTTCAATCCACTAGTGTTAAATTTCCCAACTAATTAGTACTGTAAATGAATGATTTTCCAAAAGCTCCCAAAGTGGCTTATTTCTTAGCAAGTGGACCTGGTGATATACTAGTCTTTATTTCCTTATTTCTAGGATGTTTTGTCATTCACCTTCTTTCTACCCAATTTTAAAAATATTTTAAAATTTTGCCCAGAAGCAACAACTTCTTTCCATTTGTAACAGAAGTTTCTTTTTCATTTATAAATTCTTGCTCTACCTTGGTTAAAGCTCTAAACTACATTCTTGATATCACAGTGTAGGAGTACTGCTTTGTGTTCCTTCCTAGGACTCTATCTTATGGTATTATCAAGTTCATTTTCTTAAAATTTAAAGTCTTAAGTTCTATCACATATAACTTCCTTTTTAAAAAGTTGGTATAAATAAAACACTTAAGGCAATTGGTACAAAATTTGCTTATTATACGCAGTTGGTTGAATTTTAATTTGGTGCTGACGAGTTACCATCAAGTTTATTCACTTGATCAGAAATTGTCATTTCATGCACGTGTGTTTTTGGTTACCACCAAATAAAAAGTGAAATTTAGTTTGAATCCATCGCCATTCTTAGAAAAAATGATTCCTAAACTATAGAGACTTAGGATTCTTGCCATATTTTTGTCACATTTTGGCAAAACACCTTGCTGCTTTGGGCCTCATTTATTTCTTCAGTGATTTCTCAAACATCTACTTTGTGCCAATCTCTGCCCTTCTCGAGCTCATGTTTTATTTAGTGCTGAAAGACAGGCAATAAAAAGTAAATAAAATATGCAGTATGTTAGACTGTGGTCAATACTGTAGAGTAACATAAAGTAGGGAAGGGGGATAAAGAGTACATGGTAGGAGTTGGTGGTCAGAGAAGGCCTCACTGAGACATGACATCTGAGTAAAGACCTGAAGGAAGGACTGCAAGGAGACTGGGTTGGCCACAAGTGAGTGAGCAAGAGAGAATAGTAGGAGATGGGGCCTGCAAGGTAATGTGGGCCATGTATGAATTTGGCTTTTACTCTGAGATAAGAAGCCATTCATTAGAGGATTTTTGAATAGTGGAGTCTTGTATATCTGAGTAAAAACTACGATCAACAAAAAACCTTAAATAGAGAAGAGTGTTTATATTACTCTAGTCCCTGTCTTGAGAATAAACTACAGAAGACCAAGGGCAAAATCAGGGAGATTAGTTGGGGGGCTCTTATAATAATCTGGTGGGAGATGGCAGTGGATTAGGCTAAGCACCTGGCAGTGTGGGTGATAGAGGTTTGATTTTGGATATATTTTGAATTTGTTGATAGTTTGAATGTGAAATAGAGAAAATGTTGAGGGTGACATCATAGTTATTAATCTAAGCAAATGGGAAGATGGCATTGATACTAATTGATATGGGGAAGACTAGGAAGAACAAATTTGGAAGGGAAGATGAAGACTTTGGCTTGGAGCATGTTTTAGTTTGAGATGCCTGTTAGACATCCAAATGGAGATGTCATAGTCATTCACTTATGTGAAGTGAGGGGAGTGTTCTAGGCTGTAAATATCACTGAACATTTTTAAATGTCATGGGAATGAATACAAGTAACACCAGAGAAATGTGAATAAAATTGGTATATCACTCTCAATATCTTGGTTATGATTTTGTACTATAATTTTGTAAGATGTTATCATTGGGAGAAACTGGACAAAAGGTACATGGAGTCTCTATTATTTCTTACAACTACATGTGAATATAAAATTGTCTCAAAACAAAAGTTAAATTAAAAAAAGTCGTGGAACTGTATGAGATTACCAAGGGACACAGTAGAGATAGAAGGTAAGGTCCACAGATTGAGCTCTGGGGAATCTGACAATAGAGGGTTAGGGAGATGAAAAGGTATTGGCGGAGGAAACTAAGAGGGAGTGGCCAGTGATATAAAAGGAAAACCGGGGGAGTGGTGGTTTCCTTTTTGTAAAATATGAGTGCAGACATGTTGTAGAGTTCTGGGATTCTTTATTCAATATTGGTCATACATACATGTTAAAATTTGTTCTTAGGAGATGAGTACAGAGTGCCACATATCCTTATCTCTGGTAGCAGAAACTTTTGACCGTAAGAAAACCAAATGTCAACATTACTCCCAGCACCTTTAACTCCCTACATGTACTCTCATAAAAGTAATTCTCTTATATTTTTACAAAAGAAAGTAACTACGTCATTGTTTCCCAAACTGAATGGAAGTAGTGTGTCCGTAATTCATAAACTGGGGGGAAAGTTTCCGTGGTCAAATAAGTTTAGGAAATGCAAGTTAAAATTAAATAGATTCTTTAATATAGGATCTTTCCTGCTAGATGTGGGCTGTATCATCTAGTATGTTTATTTGACCCTGGAGTTTTTTTTCCTTCAATACTTATTAACTTTTTGACATTAATTTTCATACAATAAGTATGTAGAATGCTGATCTAGAGGGATCATTCTTTGGATTCTCTGAATTGGGGAATAAAAAGTAGTTTTGTAAGGTGTTAAAGAAGATGGACTCCTAGACATTTCATTCACGTTTATGAATCTTTGTAAGGTAGAGTTTATAACTGGTTGCTAGCAATGTACATATCTTTTTAGAAATTACAGAAATAAAATTATATCCTCTATTTATAAAATCTAAGAAATACATAACAAGGACAGAACAGTTATTAGCTTATTCTGCCTCTGAATATAGCAGCAAGGGGCTTTTTTTGTTTTTTGGTTTTTTTTTTGGAGGGTATGGTTACCTTTCATGATTTCACACTAAGATGTTTAAGAATGTCTCATTTATTTGTAGCTTCTCTTTGTTACTCCTTATGCTTAGTTCATCAATATACCCACTTACTTTTCTTGAGACTATTACTTTTTCCAGTCTTTTATTATCTGTTCAGGAGTTTCTTACATTGTAAAGTTTTCCTTCTTGCTTAAAGGAGTAAGGGAAACAATGACCTAGTTACTTTCTTTTGTAAAAATATAAGAGAATTACTTCTATGGGAGTTAAAGGTGCTGGGAGTAATGCTGACATTTGGTTTTCGTACTTCTGCTTGATACTAAGATTAGGAGTTTTTATACCCAGCTCTACATTAAGCCCTCTCAGTGCTGAAGGGACAGTGGTTGAATAGCACAGGCTCTACAGTTGATTGCTTAGTGTGGGGCTCCTACCCTGCTGTTTCCTAGGCTGTATGTGACCTTGGGTAGGTTACCAGATGTCTGTGCCCCATTCCTCATTTGTAAAACACAGTTAACAACAATACTTGCTCATAAAGTGTTAGGGAATTAAATGAGTATATGCGTATAGTACTTAGAAAGTAGTTGGCACATAGGAAGTGCTATACACATGTAAAGTTATCATTGTTACTACTGTTACGTTACTACTCTTCATGGTTTTATTTCTGCCTGCATTTTATTCATCTTCATTAGAATAACCTCAATTTTTAATCTGAGCTTCCAATACCATTTCACAGATCACTTGTGTTAACTTTCTCTTTCTAGCCCAGTGTGTGTGTGTGCGTGTGTGTGTGTGTGTGTGTGTGTTTTGGAGTTACTGTTGAAGCAAACATAAGTAATACCATTAGATTTTTGGTATCTAAAGCTTACCAAACTTCTACTGTTAGAGAATGTCTATGAATCCTCCTAGGTTCACTTTAGTCACAGCTGTCTTTTCCCCCTAATTATACTGCCTTATACTGACTACACTATGGCTCTTCTCATATTTTCTGTCCACATCTCTGATTTTGAGATCCTTCTGCAGCCTCACTTTAGTCATTTTGGTATTTGACTACCTGAGTTTACTCTCCTCTGCAAACTTGGAGAAGCTACTGTGACATCTCCTTTTCTGCGTCACTTCTTGAAATATAGGAACCTACTGTTTTTAATCCTCCACACTGAAAAAAATCTGTCTCCCTACCACTCTGAAGTGTGGTGTCGTGAAAGTAGTGCTGCTTTGAAATAAGGCAGTCCTAGGTTTAAATCCTAGCTGGGTGTCTAACCAGCTTGTTGAGCCTCAGCTTCCTCATCAGTGAGAGGTCTCATCATAATAAGTCCTTGCAGGGTGGTTGTAAGAAATAGAGACTGAGGATGGTTAAACCATTAACAAATAATTGAAGTTCTTTAGTTAAATATTTAATTAAAATTCCTTAGCACCGGCTTGCCAAAAAGTACTTAATAAACGCATGTTGTTGCCGTGGCTGCTGCAGCTATTGCTGCGGGTGCGACTACTGCTGTCACGGCTCTTCCCGTTACTGCCCCCGCTGTCGCTGCCACTGCTGCTGTTCGTACCGCAGTTCCTGCTACCGCTGATGGCAGAAGACCCTGGCAATGGCCTGTCCGTGGCAGCTTCTCGTCAGGGAGAGTTTTAGTGCAACCCAGCTGCACCGTGGCTGTTGGTAATTTGGGCTTACAGTTCCCAGGTGGCGCAGTGCATTCCTGCAGACTGCCGCGCGGACGGCTCTTCACTGCAGTGCTTCAGTCGCATGCGTTGGGTATAATTCTCCAGCGTCAGATCGAGTGTAGTTCTGACTCTTCTGGTCTGGGGACTATGAAACAGCACCCTTGTTGGAAACTAGTGCATAATGCTCTCTGCTGAGAGGAAAACATTCCTCTGAGCTTATAGAATCCCCTTTTTAGGAGGAAAACATTCCTTTGAGCTTGTAGAATCCCCTTTTTAAAGAAAACTTTTAAAATTATTGCCAGGCATTCATTTCCTGGCTACTTAGTCAATATTACGAGGTTTGTGGAAATGTGTAATGGGGCCAGTTAGCAGTAGTAAAGTGGCTGTTCCTTTTGTAGACCTTTGAAATGATTTAAAAATTTGCTTTTCTCAGATGTTAGATCATAATTCAATCATGGAATTGTACTTGCCTATTTGTTTCACCCTTATTTCTATTTTCTTCTTCCTCTATCTTCTCCAGTACATCTATCTGGGTATATTAATTGTAACACAGAAGTAAAATTTTAGGTTTTGCAAGGTTAATTTTCTTTTCCTTTTTCTTTTTAAAAAAATTTATTTAAATTTTAGGGCGCCTGGCTGGCTCAGTTGGTTAAGCGACTGCCTTCGGCTGAGGTCATGATCCTGGAGTCCCTGGATCGAGTCCTGCATCGGGCTCCCTGCTCGGCGGGGAGCCTGCTTCTCCCTCTGACCCTCCCCCCTCTCATGTGCTCTCTCTCTCATTCTCTCTCTCTCAAATAAATAAATAAAATCTTAAAAACAAATAAATAAAATAAATTTTAGTTCACGTACAGTGCAATATTGGTTTCAGGAGTAGAATTGTGTGATTCATCACTTACATGCAACACCCAGTACTCATCACAAGTGCCCTCTTTAATATCCATCACCCATCTCGCCCATCCCCCCCCACCTCCCTTTATCAACCCTCTGTTCTCTGCTGTTAAGAGTCTCTTATGGTTTGTTTCCCTCTCTCTTTTCCTCCCTTCCCATTTGTTCACTTGATTTCTTTCTTACATTCCACATATGAGTGAATTCATATGGTATTTGTCTTTGCCTGACTCATTCACTTAGCATAATACACTAGCTCCATCCACATCATTGCAAATGGCAAGATTATATTCTTTTTGATGGCTGAGCAATATTCCATTGTATATATGTCCATCTTCTTTATCCATTCATCAGCTGATGGACATTTGGGCTCTCTTCATAATTTGACTATTATTGATAATGCTGCTATAAACATTAGGGTGCATGTGCCCTTCAAATCTGTATTTTTGTATCCTCTGGGTAAATACCTGGTAGTACAATTGCTGGATGGTAGGGTAGTTCTATTTTTAACTTTTTGGGGAACCTCCATACTGTTATCCAGAGTGGCTGTACCAGCTTGCATTCCCACCAACAGTGTAAAAGGGTTCCCCTTTCTCTGCATTCTCGCCAACACCTATTGTTTCTTGTGTTGTTAACTTTAGCCATTCTGACAGGTGTGAGGTGATAGCTCATCTTGGTTTTGATTTATACTTCCCTGATGATGAATGATGTTGAGCATCTCTTCGTGTGTCTTTTGGCCATCTGGATGTCTATTTGTTTCCTATTTGTTTCACCCTTATTTCTATTTTCTTCTTCTGTTCATGCCTTCTGCTCACTTCTTAATTGGATTATTTGCTTATATGGGTGTTGAGTTTGATAAGTTCCTTATAAATTTTGGATACTAACCTTTTATCAGATATGTCCTTTACAAATATCTTCGCCCATTTTATAGGCTGCTTTTTAGTTTTGTTGTTTCCTTCACTGTGCAGAAAGTTTTTTATTTTGGGGAAGTCCCAATAGTTCATTTTTGCTTGCCACTGGCGACATGTCTAGTAAGTTGCTACAGCCGGGGTCAAAGAGGTTGCTGCCTGTGTTCTCCTCTAGGATTTTTATGGTTTTCTGTCTCACATGTAGGTCTTTCATCCATTTTGAATTTATTTTTGTGTATGGTGTAACAAAGTGGTCCAATTTCATTCTTCTGCATGTTGCTGCCAGTTTTCCCAACACCATTTGTTGAAGAAACTTTTTTCCAGTGGATATTCTTCCCTGCTTTGTTGGAGATGAATTGACCATATAGTTGTGGATCCATTTCTGAGTTTTCTCTTCTGTTCCATTGATCTATGTGTCTGTTTTTGTGCCAGTACCATACTCTCTTGATGACTACAGCTTTCTTTGTAATATAGCTTGAAATCTGGAATTGTGATACCGCCAGCTTTGGTTTTTTTTTTTCAAGATTGGTTTAGCTGTTCGGGGTCTTTTGTGGTTCCATACAAATTTTAGGATTGTTCTAGCTCTCTGAAAATTGCTATCAGTATTTTGATAGGAATTGCATTCAAGGTATAGATTGCTTTGGATAGTATAGACATTGTAACAATGTTTGTTTTTCCAATCCATGAGCATGGAAGGTTTTTCCATTTCTTTGTGTCCTCTTCAACTTCTTTCATCAGTGTTTTATAGTTTTCTGAGTACAGATCTTTTACCTCTTTAGTTAGGTTTATTCCTAGGTATCTTATTGTTTTTGGTGCAATTGCAAATGCAGTTTCTTTTTCTGCTTTGTTATTGGTGTATAGAAATGCAGCATTTTTGTACGGTGATTTTATATCCTGAGACTTTGCTGAATTCATGTATTGAATCAAGTTCTAGCAATTTTTTGGTGGAATCTTTCAGGTTTTCTATATTGAGTATCATGTTGTCTACAAATAGTGAAATTTTGATTTCTTCCTTGCCAATTTGGATGCCTTCTATTTCTTTTTGCCTGATTGTTGAGGCTGAGACTTCCGGTACTATGTTAAATAGTAATGGTGAAAGTGGACACCCTTGTCTTGTTCCTGTCTGTAAGGGAAAGGCTTTCAGTTTTTCCCCATTGAAGATGATATTAGCTGTGGGTCTTTCATATATGGCCTTTATGATGTTGTGGTATGTTCCATCTGTCCCTATGCAAGGTTAATTTTCTTGACAGAAAGTTCAGGTTAGAAAGATATTTCCCTCTAACGTATCTTGAAAGTATGAGTCCATGGTTAATCCATAAAGTCTCAAACTTGGAAAACTGGGCTACTAAACCAGTTGTCTCTTTTATTGATTGAATCAAATGTCCCAAAAGCCACAATTTGAAGTGATTTTAAAAGTTGATCTAGTTCTCTCACTTAGCTCCAAGTTTGCTCTAAGCAAAGTACAATGGAAGGGCACTGCCTGAAGTCAAAATATCAGTTCAAGACTCCTCTCTCTTACTAACTTTATGTTCAAATTACTTCAGTTTCTTCATTTGTGAAATGAAATTAAAAATAATCTTGGGACACCTGGGTGGCTGTCAGTTAAGCTTCTGACTCTTGATTTTGGCTCAGGTGATGGTCTCAGGGTCATGAGATCGAGCTCCATATCAGGCTCCGCACTGGGCATGGAGCCTGCTTAAGATTCCTTCTCTCCCTCTGCCTCTTCCCCACTTACTTGCATGCGTGCGTGCGCTCTCTAATAATCTTTACACTATTGTTTAGAAGATTTTAAAAATGTAGAATATTTTACAAATAAAAATGTTTGTTATATTTTGTTAAATACCCTTAATTTAAAGAATACTAGGAAGAAATGGAAACAAAACTGACTTTCCTTGAAACTGAGTTCTTCTGTCTTATTTCAGAATGGCTACTGGGTTTTATACTTAGCACCAGTTGTAACTGCATGGCTCTTTAATAGTATAATGTAAATAACCCTTCCATATATCCCTTGACCCGGAACATTGATTCCTTGCCCTTTGTGTGCAAGACTCTGTATCAAGTGCTGGAAATGGAAATATGAATAAGACATGGTTCATGTCATCAGAGTAATTACAGAATAAGGCAGGCAGAATTGTAGACACTGAATCCACATCTTCACAGGGCCACACAGTACACTGATTTCACAATGAGTTAAACTACTAATACCATGTATATATTACATTATGTGATTTTTGTGAAATGCTATACCAGTAGAGAATCTGGACTTGTTCCCTAAGAGAAATATCACTATTATACCACTCTAAACTATACCAGTAAGTCATTAATTATCTTTCATAAATGCAAGGAGTAAGTAACCTCTTTCAGAAGTAGAATGGCAACATTTTTAATACGTTTTATGTTTAAGAATACTATTTCTCTTTAAAAATGTTTACTTCCGGGGCGCCTGGGGGGCTCAGTCGTTAAGTGTCTGCCTTTGGCTCAGGTCATAATCCCGGGTCCTGGGATCAAGCCCCGCATCGGGCTCCCTGCTCTGCGGAAAGCCTGCTTCTCCTCCCACTCCCTCTGCTTGTGTTCCCTCTCTCGCTGTGTCAGAGAGAGCTCTGTCAAATAAATAAAATCTTAAAAATAAATAAATAAATAAATAAATAAATAAATAAATAAATAATGTTTACTTCCATTGAATACTATGATCATTGAAGAATATGTCAGAAGTCATTCCATTATTTCCCTGTGAAATTCTGAAATTATTTGAAGGAATTATTCATTCTGGACATAATCTAAGTTGGAGAGTCTTAAGTATTCAAAATGGTCAATATCTTCATTTCATATATTTGATTTAACAGGAAAAAAAGAAAATATCTGTGAGATATGCAGAATTTATTTGGGGCTTGTTTCCTTCTCTAAACTAAAAAAAAATCTTATTTGGGTATAGTTGACACACAATGTTGCATTAGTTTCAGGTGTACAACATGTGGTGATTCAACTTCTCTGCATATTATGCTTTGCTCACCACAACTGCAGCTACCCTCTGTCACCAGACAACACTACTGCAATATCATTGGCTGTATTCTCCGTGCTGTGCCTTTTATTACCATGACTTATTCCTTCCATAACTGGAAGCCTGGATCTTCACTCCCCTTCACCCATTTTGTGCATTCCCCATCCCATACCCCTCTGGCAACTGTTAGTTTGTTCTCTGTATAGGTCTGATTCTGCTTTTTGCTGGTTGGTTCATTTGTTTTTTAGATTCCACATATGAGTGAAATCATACAGTATTTGTCTTTCTCTGACTTATTTCACTTAGCATAATGCCTTTTAGGTCCATCCATGTTGTCACAGATGGCAAAATTTCATCCTTCTTTATGGCTGTGTAGTATTCTATTGTTTATATATATGTGTATATATGTACAAGTTTTATATATATATATATACATATATATGTATATATGTAAAACCTCATTATCCATTCTATATTGGTGGATACTTGGTTTGCTTCCATATCTTGGCTGTTGTAAATTATGCCCAGTGAACATAGGGATACATATATCTTTTCAATAATGTTTTTGTTTGGGTAAATAGCCAGTAGTGAAATTATTGGATCATGTGGTAATTCTCTTTTTAATACTTTGAGGAACCTCCATACTGTTTTCCACAGTGACTGTAACAATTTATATTCCCACCAACAGTGCACAAGGGTCCCTTTTTTTCTGCACATCAATACTTATTCTTTCTTCTCTTTTTGGTTTTAGCCATTATGACAGGTGTTAAGGTGATATCTCTTGTGGTTTTGGTTTGTGTTGCCCTGATGAGGAATGATATTGAACATCTTTTTATGTGACTGCCATCTGTATGTCGGCTTTGGAAAAATGTCTGTTCAGGTCCTTTGCCCATTTTTTAATTGGATTATTTTGTTCGTGTTGAGTTGTGTAAGTTATTTATATATTTTGAATATTAACCTTTTGCCAGATACATCATTTGTAAATATTTTCTCCGATTCAGTAGGTTGCCTTTTTTGTTATTGTTGGTAGTTTCCTTCACTTCGCTTTTTATTTTAATAGAGCCCCAATTGTTTATTTTTGCTTTTATTTCCCTTGCCAAAGGAGACCTATCCAGAAAAATATTGCAACAGCCAATGTCAGAGAAATTACTGCTTGTGTCCTTTTAAGGGTTTTATATGGTTTGGGATCTCACAGGTCTTTTTTTTTTTTTTTAATTTTATAGGTAGAATTTAGTGATTCATCGGTTGCATATAATACCTAGTGATCATTACATCAAGTGCCCTCCTTAATGCCCATCACCCCTCAGTTTGTTTCCTTGAGTTTCAGCATCTCTTATGGTTTGCCTCCCTCTCACTTTTCATCTTATTTTATTTTTCCTTCACAGGTCTTTAATCCATTTTGAATTTATTTTTCTGTATAGTGTAAGAAAGTGGTCCAGTTTCATTCTTTTGCATGTAGCTGTCCAGTTTTCCCAGCACTATTTATTGAAGAGACTGTCTTTTCCCCATTGTATATTCTTGTCTCCTCTGTCATAGATTAATTGTCCTTATAAGCATGGGTTTGTTTCTAGGCTGAATTTTCTGATCCATTGATTTATGTGTCTGTTTTTGTGCCAATACCAATAGCATTTTGGTTACTAGAGCTTTGTAATATATCTTGCAGTCTGGAATTGTGATTACCTCCAGCTTTGTTCTTTCTCAAGATAGCTTTGGCTCTTCATTCAGGGTCTTTTGTGGTTCCCTTTTCTAAACTTTTGAAATATAACTGGGATTTTGAGAGATCCTGCCCTTGGATTTCTCTCATCCTACCACAGACATTAATCAAACCAGATCTTGAGCAATTCTAAAATAGTTTTTCCTTTTCAAAGTGGATACAATGTATTTGTCCCTGGTATATATTGCAAGACAGTAGGTAGGAGCTGTGTGTCAAAATATGGTGGTTTCTGGCAGTTTGGACTTCTGTCTCTGATATTTGTTAAGCAGAGAATGATGGGAGACAGTGAAATGGAAAGACAAATGAAACTTCAGCGTAGTCCTTCATTTAGGGCACACCGTACCAACTTCTGACAGGGATTCTAAGGTTACTACCATTTTTTCAGTCTTCTGGTCCTTATAGTAATTGCTTGTATGTTATAAATTAAATATCTAGGGCTAATTCAGCATTGCCAATAAAATAACAAAATAGAGCCCTGGTCTGGCATCAAAATCTTCTGCCTCCACTGATGGTCTTATTTTTTTCTGCTTCACATTTTCACACACAAATATTTTGTTTCTCTTGATTCCTTGTCTCTAATTAGTTCTTCTGTCTATCTAGAATGATTTTTTTACCCCATCTTGCCTAACTTTAGATCATACCTAGGCGTTCAGAAATGGGTAATTTTGTATGAGAGCAAATAGGGCTGGTCCTAACAGGAGTGGACCAGCAATCAAAATTAATGTCTAATGGATTGTGTTTGGGGGTTGGGGGAAGTATTGCAGGAAGATCTCAAAATATGGAAGATATTTAAGTTGTAATAGGCTTAAGAGCGTGTGTGGTACACTCTCAAGTATTCTGGACAGTAACGTTGATTCCCAACTCTACCCAGGCCAGTAATAATAACTAACATTTTTTGAGCACATGTAATTTGCCAGACACCCTTCTGTTTTGTATTTATTCATTCATTTAATTCTCACAAACTAATGAGATACACGCTGTTATTGTCCCAAATTATGGATATTAAGTCAACTGAGGTACAGATAAGTAATTCGCTCATGATCACATAGCTCTCAGGTGGGGAGCCTCAATTTCAATTATAGCCATCTGTTGTCAGAAAGTAAACTAATACAAACTGTACTCTATTGTTTCCTGGTTGTACTTGTGGTTACTAATGTACTTCCTGCCTTGTTATGATTGGCTGAGGAACTAGATGGGACTGAGCTTCAGTGTGTGTTCACAGGAGGGTAGGCAGCAACTGACACACCTGTAGCATTGGGACCAGAATCTAGCTTCCCAAACTTAGAACAATAGCTCTATGATGTATGGGCAATAGGACATTTTCAGCAAACAATGGCATGGATTGGTCTATTAGTAAGATTAATTTGGCAGTGATACTCAGCATGTTTGAGAGTGGAAAACATCCAGAGGCAGAGAGATCAGTTAAGCTTTTTCACTTTTCCTGGCATGATTATGAGGGAATCTGATTCACAGGAAAGGAATTGGCTGTGAAGCAGTGCAGTGGAAATTTGAAATAGAGCCATCACTTTTAATCCTGGTTCTGCTGCTTAATAGATGTATTACTTTAGCATTTTTAGGCCTCAGATTTTTCTCGTCTACAAGATGGGGGCAGTTGGACGATCTCTTAGGACTCAAGTCTAATTCTATATTAGAATCACAGTATATTACTGTGATATTTCTGAATTGAATTGCTGACTGATTGAAATCAGTAGTAATAAAAATGGAGGAGTAAAGCTCCAGATGATGACTCTGGGGTTATCTGTTCAGAAGTAATGGTTGGGATTTTTCCTTAAAGATGAGAAAAACAAGACTGAGTGATAAATATTTCTATTGAATGTTCTTTGTCCATTTGGTACTTATATTCTGTTGGTTTACCTTGTTTATCATCTCCCTAAACCTTCCTCTTCCCCACTGACACTGCTTCTGCTTTACTTGAGATAGTCATTAACTATCTCTTCTCTGTGCTATGGTGAGCGTTGTGAATTGTGCAAGACTGTTGAATCACAGATCTGTACCTCTGAAACAAATAATGCAATATATGTTAAGAAAAAAAAAAGATAGCAGGAGGGGAAGAATGAAGTGGGGGAAATCGGAGGGGGAGACGAACCATGAGAGACGATGGACTCTGAAAAACAAACTGAGGGTTCTGGAGGGAAGGCGGGTGGGAGGATGGGTTAGCCTGGTGATGGGTATTAAAGAGGGCACGTTCTGCATGGAGCACTGGGTGTTATGCACAAACAATGAATCATGGAACACTACATCAAAAACTAATGATGTAATGTATGGTGATTAACATAACAATAAACAATTTTTTTAAAAACTCTCTCTTCTCTGGGCTTCCTGTGTGGAGCTTATCCTCTTCTAATACTCCCCTTTCTCTTTCGGATGCACATAATCATACTTTCCTGTTAGCCTTAGAATAAAGTTCTTAGCATAAGCACTATATCCTGGCAACCAATCTTTCCTGAAGTTGCCCTTGCTATCTCCTCAATAGCATTTTTGACTACTCTCCTTTGTTCCCTACATTACAGTCATATTAGACCACTCAGGTTCTCATTTGTTGTCTTGTTTCATAATTCTTTGCTTTTGCTCTGCCTTGACTCTCCTTCCCCTGCTTTGCCAACTCCTGTTCTTGCTGCAAAACCAAGTTTACTATAGTATCTTCACTGCTTCCTTGCGTCTTTCCCTTTTGTAGTGGCTCAGTCTTTTGAACAGCCATTCCATCATGTAGATGTCTTTTTTTTTTTAACACTTTTCACAATTCCATAAACATTTGCTTCAATATGTTTCCTTGATGATGAACTCCTTGATAGGAGGGACTGTGTCTTAACTTTGGACTAGAACTCTTAGCACAGTACCTGATGTATGTGCAACCCAGTAGATGTTTAGCTCAGTTACCCTTTCCACGTATCTATTAACACCTCTCAGAACAGATGATCAGAAATGGTACACTAGATGTTTTACTGTAATTTATTAGTCTCATGATTACTATCAAATTTAATCTTGAATATCTAAGTGGAAGATGTTAAGAACTGATTGGCTTTCCTACTGGCTTATACAACTTCTTTTCGTCTTTTTTAGTATGCTTACAAATATCTTAAATTGAAGATTACAAAAAAAAATCAACATTGAAATTTTGGGCTTTTAAATTGTTGTTAAAAGGAAAGAATATGGCCTGGCTAAAACGAATCTGAATGATTTTCCCTTTATAGCTTTTCCCTTTACCCCATGTTATGTATATAGTATGAATGAAACCTCAAAAGAATGGACTAATGTAATTAACCCAGAATATTTATTTTACATGTAGCCTTGGATTAGTTATGTGACCTGCAGAAAAATGCAAGAAGGGACATTTATTTTAAACTTTAGAGGGAAAGGATTATCCTTTATCAGAAAGATGTTTCAGCAGGTTCATATACAGAAGAAAAGTAATTTATTTGCAGTCTTGATCTGTAGTCATTTTGAAATTGATCACCAATCTTTCTGTTTTCTTTACACTGAACTTTTCGTGTTTGTTTTAAATGTTGTACTACATTTTTCTATTAAAAATTATTGCAACATTTACAGGTGAAAAGTGTAATTATCTAATAGTAGGTCTTTAGCTCAGAACTTTGAGCTTAGCAAATTTCACTGTCTTCTACCAAGCAATTGAATATCTCAAATGATGACTATTTCAGCAGGTATCTTTAATGAATAAGAATTACAGGTAAGAACACTTTTTTTTTCCAATAGTCTTAATGATGTGTTGGTAGTTGTGTTAAAATTTGTTCATCTTTTTGTTTTAATTTGTTAATCTTAAATTATGCTTTTCTAGTTACAAAAATGTAGTGTACAATTTAATGATGAATTAACTCAGTGAATTTTTTTCTCAGTGGAATTTTCTATAGTGTACTTGCTGAATTTTTAAAATATTTGTTTCCTTAAATATTTCACTGGTTATTATAATTCTGTTCCATAAACAGAATACGAGTATGGTTAAAGCCCCAAATAAGATTGGGATCATAGGCCTCTTAGTGCTAATTATTTGAATAACTTATTTTGTTCTCATCTACCAGTTTCTTAGTAAGATGAAGAATAATAAAAAACTGTCACTAAGCTCTCTTGCAGAGATAGTAAGAGGACATAGTTTCTCCAATTGAAATATCAGCAGTAATAGTAACACATGCTTAATAGTTTTCATTTTAATTGTTGCATAAAATCAGTTTATTAGAACAGCCATATGTGAAAATGATTAGCATGGTAATGTTTCTTTTCTAAGAATGTAAGGTTGATCTTTGATAATTTTTTGAACAGTAACTGAGAGGGAAATTCTTTTATAAAATGTTTTTAAACTTCTTTTTGATCAGTTTGTTTCACAGTTGTTCAAATTGAGTTTAAAATTAACTGCTTAGAAATAAAAATCAGTTGTAATATACAAATTTATTTCAGAACTTCATTAATCCAATATCTTTTTGTTTCTTCACACTAATTTTTCATGTTTTCATACAACTTTATACATGTTATTCTTAAGACTATCATTTTCCTGTATAAATCATTAAAGACTAACGTGAAGTTTCATCTTTATGAATATTGTTCACAATTGAACATTTAAAAGAATTACCAAATCTTTAACCTCCAAAATGATTGAGCATTTTGTCAATATTTCTGCAAGTTTTATTCATTTAAATTTGTTTAGTAAGTTAGTTGTAAATTATTGTAATACACTACCAATATAATAAAAGAACAAAAAATGACACACTCTATTTTAAATATTTTGCAATTTCATGTAATCACTAAAATATAGATAAGTAATTTTACACAAATTATTATTAATATCTAGTAAAGCATTAGCTTTTATAGACCAATTTTTTTTAGTGTTCCCTAGGAGAATGGATAAAGAAGATTGCCAACTCCATATTTCGACTAACCATGAGAGTAGCTTTTAGGACAATTGACGTTTCTATCCTATATGTCTTCATTTTTGTGCGTGAAATTTAAGTCAGTATAGTTGTTGCTTATATTAAATATATTAATCCTTACATATAGCTCTAAGCCTTCATAAAGTAATGAATCACTTAACTATTAATGGCATTTCAAATCAGGTAGGTACTTACGTAGTTTAGAATTTAGTTTAATATATAATGTCAGTAAATAATATTTAGTTATCAGCAGTTTCTAAAAGATCTTTTGGGAAAGCTAGCTTTTATATGAAATTATTTTAAAGATGGCATATGCCTTAATGTAATGTTACAATTTTTCTATTTTCAGAAACCAAGTTTAAAAAAATTGTAGTTAATATTTGAGCTATGCTTATGGTAGCTATGCTCTTAAGAGACTATATCCTTCAGAATTATAAATTATTTCTGTGATTTTGCTACCTTAATTGTAATAAATATTGAAATAGCATTATATTGAATTTCACAACAGATAAAATTTCTCTTCTCTCACTTTTTAAGCCCTATAATAGTAAATACTTATGCATATTATATATATGAAGCATATAACCTGCTTTTATTTTTAAAAAGTAATTCTTTTTTTGAAACGGTTTTACTAATATATGTCTTTTATTTATAATTGTATTTAACATAGAGAAAAATTTTTAAGTGCTCTTATTTTCAGAAAAGAAGGAAATACATGCCTGTATTGATTTCTTTAGCACATTTATTGAATCTACTGTTTATTTTCATGCATTTTACTTTTCCCTAAAATATTTTAAAGGTCATTTACAAATCTGTATTAGTTTAAATTTACATTTTAATTATTTTAAGCATGCAGAAAAGAACTGTTTCATATTTTCCATTGTAAATATAAAATAAAGTATTCAATAATTATTTTGTTTTCAAGATTAAAAAATGAAGCTCCCACTAAGGAACAAGAACCTGTGTCTGAGGTAAATTTTGTTTTACTTGTACCTTAAAAGCTTATATATTTGAAAGTATTACTGGTTTAATTTTTTAAACATTTCAATTCATTGTGTATAATAACAATTATTGGCATGTTATCAGGAAAAAAATTGAGATTTGTTTGTTGTCATTAGATATAAAAATATCTAACCCTAAGCAAAATTCTAAGGTGTTTTTGTTTTTACAAAAGCATCATATATTTCACTTGCCTGTTATTTAGTTCAACTAGTGAGTTAATGGAGATAAATTTATGATTTAAAAATCCTGAAATCAATAAATGTCAAACAGTTGACGCATTGGAAAATTAATCTTTCCAGATGATTTTATTTTCTGGGACTGTCAGAAAGGTTTAACTAATACTTAAAATAGAAATATTCTGGGGTCTCCGGGTGGCTCTGTTGGTTAAGCATCTGATGCTTGATTTCTGTTCAGGTCATGATCTCATGGATCATGAGATTGAGCCCCATATAGAGCTCCTCACTCAACAGGGAGTCTGCTTGAGAGTCTCTCCCTCTGTCCGTCCCCCCACTTGCACGCTTTCTCTAAGATAAAAAAATAAATGAATCGTTTTTAAAAAAGGAATCTTTTGAATATATATTAAATGTTTTTAGCTGTCTTAAACAGGCACTCTGGATAAAATACTTGGGGTTATCCTATAAATGTTATTTACTGGGCAGTCTAATGGATGTATGTAGAAATAGTTTTGTTCAAGTACATGTTTTCTTGATGTCAGTTTTTTTAATATTACAAAATATTCCATATCTCTTTCTGAGTGTATTGAAGTGAAGCAGGTTCAGATTTATCTTTTGAACAGCATTTCCATATTGAACAATGAATAAGTGAAACCTAGGCAGAACTTAGCCACCTTCTTCCAAGCAGCTTTCTTTTATACCACAGAAAGTTTTCTTTTGTTTAAAAGGTTTTTAATGACAAATAAGTTTAATAGAGATGGGATATTTTGGTTATATGATTTTTTTTTTTTAAGATTTTATTTATTTCTTTGAGAGAGAGCAAGAGTGAGAGCACGAGCAGGGGGAGGGGAAGGGGTAGAAGGAGAGGGAAAGCAGACTCCCTGCTGAGCAGGGAGCCCTACCTGGGACTTGATGTGCAGCTCAATCCCATCATGACCCCAGCCAAAGGCAGACACTTAACTGACTGAGCCACCCAGGCACCCCAGTTATGTGATTATTCTTGAATAAGTTCTGGTAGTTTGTGGTTTTTAACATTGAATTTATCTATATAGACTTGTTTGTACTATTCCCTTAAACTTTTAATGTCTTAGGGTCTGGAGTGATAATTCTCTCATTCATTCCTGATGTTAATAGTTTGTGGGTTCTTTTTTCCTATTGTTGTCATATGTTTTACTTTTACATAGGTTATAAAGACAGAATACAGAGTTGCTGTTTTTGCTTTAGATAGTTATTTT